AAGTTTTGGCCGCGTGGCCCCATGTCGGGGCTGCATACGTTTTATAGATTGTAAGTGCGAGGTTAATGTTGATGGAGGAGGACTTGGTAAGGATTGGATAGAGTTAGCTGAGCCTGTGGTTGGCTCTACATACTGCTTTACTTATATGTGATTTGTAGGTGAGTTTGCGGTCCAGGATGACTTCATTTACCCGGGGGATGGTTGCTCCAAAGATCTTCAGGGGAGGTACTTCGCTGCGGAGGTGCGACAGCCGTTTAGAGAATAATGTCACCGCGCATTTATGAACGTTAATCTTAATCCTCCATTTTTCAAACCAAGGCTCGAAAGTTGTAATGGCTTTATTCAGTTTAAATGCCGCCAACTGTACGCTGCCTGATCGAGCAGTGACGCTCGTATCATCAGCGTAAATCGAGACGGCCACATTATTATCATTTTCTATGATTGGTAAATCATTTATATAAATATTAAATAAAACTGGCCCTAACAGGCTGCCTTGGGGGACTCCTGCCTGAATGGGTCGCCGTGTGGATTCCGAATTTCCATGGACAACCGTGAAGACTCTGTTATTTAGGTAGTTGTATATAATGTGGACAAAATGTGCGGGAATTCCGGCCCTGATGAGTTTAGAAATGAGTCCGGTTGTCCACACCTTGTCGAAAGCTCTTTCTATGTCCAAAAAGAGGGCTAGTGTTGTTTTGTTGTTATTGAATCCCAGGGTAATGCGTTCAATGAGGCGTGTCAGCGCGTGAGTGGTTGAGTGACCTTTTTTAAATCCATATTGCTCCTCCCGTATTAAGTTTAATTCTTTTAGCTGTGCATTTAAGCGTTTCAAGATTATTTTTTCTAATACTTTGGCTAGCGAATTTAGGAGGCTGATTGGCCTGTAATTAAGTGGCGAGGACTGATCCTTGTCCGGCTTGGGAAGCATGATTATTTTAGCAACCTTCCACTGAGACGGGAAGTAGTTGTTTGCTATTGAGGCGTTGAAAAGCGTGGCTATGAATTTGAGGGCTGGAGGGCGCAAGTTTCTTAATACGATATTCTGTATGCCATCGGGACCAGCTGCTTTGCGCGATTTGAGATGGCGAATTATCCAGCCTAATTCTTTGTAGTTTGTTTTTCTTATCGACGGGGTGGGGGGTTGGATTAGAATATCCCTGACAGTGTGCTCGGTCCGTTGAGTGAAATCACGGTCTAAGTCCGTGTTAGTCGTAAAAATGTCCTGTAGCGTGTCGGAAAAGAGATTCACCTTTTCGTCCTGTGTGACGGCGGATCTACCGTTAAATTTCAAGGGGGTATGCAGGTGGTGCTATTTGTTAAACTTTTCGTAATTCGCCAAATATTTGAAGCTGAGCTCGTCCAAATAGCATTTAAGAATTCAGTCCGTACCGCGAAGAAAACACCACACTTCACCATTACGAAGACCAATTGGTTAACGCTGTTTAAGGAAATAATCGCTGGTTACAGTGAGAATAGTGTGCTATATTCTCATCTCATCTCTTTCTCCTTGATTTGATCATCCTAATTACATCTGGTGACGAGCCCAAATTATGAAGCATCGAGGTTTTCATGACGGTGAGTAGGAAGATGGCGGCACGGCACTACAACCCGGAAGGCAGCCATCTTGTTTAAAGCTGCAAAAATAATTAGCAAAACTTTTAGGGCGGAGAGATTGAATCACGAGGTCAAGAATACGCAAAACGAATGCTGACATTACTTAAGTGATTTTCGTTAGATGTAAATAATAACATGGCGTATGCGCGAAAGGGCAGATTTGTTGCTGGATTTCTTACAGTAGATTCCAGGAAGCGCCCAGGACTTTTGTCCCCGTCAATTCAGCTTATCACTTCAATGCGGGCTGTAGGAAGGCATGTGGGCTCGTTGGAGAAACGGGATGTGTTGCGCTTTTGTCATCGACTGTTTTTGTTGGTTTAAGTTGAACATCTGCAGGTTTAAAGAAACATATTTTGCTGTTGGCATGGCTCTTTTAGGGTTCAGAAGGATCGAACCTTCTAATCTTCTAACCGAATTAGTTATTGTCGTTGAAGGCGATATATTTCGTGAACGCTTCCAAACTGGTTCTGACACTCATATAACATAATCTGGTGAAATTACAAGATGGTGGAGCCTAGTACAATGAATTTAACGCAATTGGGCCATGTGTCTTTATTAATGGCTCCGAAATTTAACGGAAGGAAGCGATGGAAGCGGGATGTAATGTGTTCCCAGCAATGGCAGGTTAGCAGCGCTTGAGAGAAAACCTAGATATTTACAGGACGCTGCAGAAAAAACAACAAACAATTTTTTTTTTGTAATGTGTTCCCAGGGGAAATTCAGGTTTCTCATAACATTTATCTTGAAGCGTGCTTCCTCCGAGCGATTGTGACAATCAAATAAATAGTCGCAGTTGATATTTCGATGTCGTCGAGTCGTGGCTTCTGAATTGCGCACGTTTTCTGGGCACATAACCATGTGTCGGCAGTGACGTAAGCATGACGTGTCCTTCAAAACGAGCGGCTTCGTGACGTATTATTTTAATGCGTTGTCAAGCGTCCACTCAATTATTGTCAACTTCCTCATTTTAAACATTTTGCTACTTTGCTGCGTTTAACAGAATCGAATGAAATGTAACAAACCCTGTAAACGTTATAGAATTTTGTAACTTTATGGACATTTTCCCACGAGGGACATTTACCTCTTAACCCTTTGAAGCAAGAGCTTTCCTAAACGACATTTAACAACTCAGTCCGTACCGCGAAGAAAACACAGGACCTCACCATTACAAAGATCAACTGGTTAACCCGTTGAAGCCACAATTCGGCTAAATAATAATTTAAGAATTCAGTCCGTACCGCGAAGAAAACACAACACTTCACCATTACAAAGGTTAATTGGTTAACGCTGTTTAAGGAAATAATCGCTGTTTATTCTGAGTATCATAGTTCGTCTGATTAATATTGAAAAATTCAGTCCGTACCGCGAAGAAAACACAAAACTTCACCATTACAAAGATCAACTGCTTAACGCTGTTTAAAGAAATAATCGCTGTTTATTCTGAGTATCATAGTTCGTCTGATTAATATTGAAAAATTCAGTCCGTACCGCGAAGAAAACACAAAACTTCACCATTACAAAGATCAACTGCTTAACGCTGTTTAAGGAAATAATCGCTGTTTACACTTAGAATCATACAAAACACATATACTTTGGGTGAAAAATGCAGATATACTGAATATTGGAGAAAGTGGTATATATAGTTACCATCGTGTTTGATGGGTTAAACCGTGTGACCGTCAGGGTCATCGTGATTAATATTTATTCTAATTAATTTTACTGCTTGACTACAATTCATTGTCCTGGGCTGTGTCAGTCCGCAGGAATTATTACAGCTCCGGTATAACATAGCACTAGATCGTCTCCAGGGTCGACACGCAGTGTCTAGGAGACAGATGTTGCATATGTGATGCCAGAATGCGATGATGGGATAAAATTCCCGGATATGAGTTAGCAATTCACTGGCTTGATGCAAAAACACAAGCCATTTGAGTATATCAGCTTTTTCAAAAACATTTACTCCTCTCTGTAACACTCTCTTTACCGATTCGGGTAGCTCTCTAGGGCGCAGTGTGAGGACGGCTGTAGACTTGCCGTTCTGGTTATAGGAGGGATGGAACTCAGGTCTTTTCAGTTGGAAGTCTTAGTGTGATCGTCATATTCAAGAATCTAACCTACAGTTCGAAGTCAAACAACCAAAAATTGAACCTAAAATGACCGTAACTTTGTGGTTTCTTGACAAGTTGAGCGACTGTTAGCTTCACAAACAAACGATTAATACCGCCTGATATTTATTTTATTTTAGCCATGGTCCTTACTGCCTCTATCCCTGACGATGGAGGCAGTAAACTCCTCTGAAACGTCTGTCAGTATCTACCAGCCACCACGACACAGTATCCCAGAACACGGTCATCGTCATCTGACATCTCGCATGAAAAAGTGTAATTTTACATATTGTTTTGTATGGGTGTAAAATTAATACCTCTATACAAATAACGCCACAGGCGGATGAGCCAAATGTCGATGATCCGATACGGGTTCGAACTGGGGGCGTTAATGCTCGAGCGTTTTACACATCCCTTGGGCATGGAGATGACGAGATTTATCGTCCAGACATTCAATATACGCTCGGGATCCCGGTGTCATCGTTCTTAAATGGGCCCTTGCGCTGTCCGGTTAATATAGTAAGTAGGAAATCGCCTGGAAGCTATGCCACCCATACAGCACTTGAGACAGATGGGATGCGTAACACGCGTTACGGTTTTAACGAGATTGTTCACGTATTCATGTTGAAGTTCACTGAGTCGGGACGTGTGAAACTGTACGTGTCGGCGTCTGTTCCATTGCTTTCTGAGGTTCTTATGTACAGGGTGTTCAAAAAGTTTGTATCCAGTAGATAAGTAGTTGCAGGTCTACAACATGATTACATTTGGTCTAGGTTGTTAACAAGAATTTGTGACATTTGTTTGTCGGTCTTTTTTATTTTTTATTTGTAGTGTTCTGTCTGAGGACAGGTCCATATGAACAGGATACTTCCATCCTTTTCTCGGACTGGGACCTGTTCATATACGTTCTTGGCAGATGATCCAGAAGTGGTTTGCCATTGCCTTCTTCTGTGTGTGAATGGAGTAATTGTTGGGATCCCACGGAGAAACCGGGGAAGCCCCCGGAGGAAACCTCCGTGTTGCCTAGACCACGGCCTTGCCCAACACAAGTTATAAATTCGGGCACTGCCGGGAATCGAACCCGAGACCCCAGGATTACAAGGCCAGCGTTCTAACCGCTAGACCACCGTGGCGGTTTTGTCGGTCTAAAGGAAATAATTTTTTTAGTCGAGAACACTATTTGTTTTCTGCTGCGTTGCAACCTGTGAATTCCAATACTTTTGAGTGCTTGTTAACTGGACGTGTACGTGTCGTAAGTAACCGGATGTGACTTCATTTCAGATGTTACCCAAGATGAATGGAAGTGCAGCGCCATGTGAGGATTTCTGGAACTATGCTTGTGGCGGTTGGCTCAAGGACCACGCGTTGCCACCCGCGGCGCGTAGTAAATGGAGTCAGGTCGAGGAGATGGCCTTCAGGAGTGAGTCACAGTGTGGGATGAGGAAATTATTTTTTACCATATTGATAGTTTTTTTGGGTTCCCTCATATCAGCATTTGAGCTTGTCATGTTTGGTTTTTATATACTCAAATTGTATGATACTGACAGTGAATTGAGAAAAGATCCCCAAAAATTAACTTGGCATGGAAGGGGTTGACAGAATAGCACATATTCCTTCCCTGATACAGATTAGAGCAATTAAATTCCATTCCAGGGGTGATCATCGCAGAAATTGTTATTCTTTAGTGCGGTAACTATTCAGTTTGGTGTTAGATAATTTTTTTATCCTTTCTCGTACCGTCAGATCGAGAGGCTATCCGGGCTCTGGTCGCAACGCTGCCACATCAAACGCGGGACAGTTCAATTGAATGGAAGATGACACGACTGTACGAGTCATGCATGGCTCTCGACACCATCGAATCTGACAAGTACACACCCCTGCGCAAGATCATTAACCAGATGGGTAACCTGAATTATATTGTATTTTTTTGGATGTGTATTTATTATGCCTGTTATTTGATCAAGGAATTTACCAATACAGAAAAATTAATAAAACTCAGTCAAAAATGAGTAGGAGCTATACCTCCTCTCCCCCCAAGTGACCTACATGGCGTGTAGCGGGACTGTTTTACCCATTCAAGGAGTCCTACCGAATGCCTACAAATATTAAGACGCCTCAATGCGTGAGGAGGCCAAGGACCTTCGAGGTCTGTAGAGCCAATGATGAAATTACAAAGTTCTTCATCATGTACTTCCTTCCAATTTTTATTAATTTCTGTCTTAGGTTCACATGCTTGAATTTTTCTGAGAACGCGAACATTCATTGCCTTCCCTCGAATAATATCTCGAATTTGCTTTGTGGAAGTGTTCACTGTCAATTATAAATAAAATTCTTTTTTGTTAATGCAGGGGGTTGGAATGTCCTACGTGAATTCTCAATTCACTCGTGGGATTATCGACAAGCACTTCAACATTTACATGCTCTGTATGGCGTATCTCCATTCTTTAAGGTCGTGGTGGTACCTGACCCTAGGGATCATTTAAGATCAATCATACAGGTGAGAGAAAATATTTCGTGTACCACACGTTGGCTTGAAGGCCTTTGCGTGTTAAGATGTTTGCAGCCACTGAACTGTGTACGATAATTTGTTAAGACGTCCCACGAGCGAGTTGTCCGCTGGCTAATAGACATTACTGTTTAATTTTATAGGTTAGCCCAGCTGGACTAGGACTTCCAGACCGCAGTTATTACTATAGGCCATCTGATAGTACGGTAAGTAGATTTATCTAATTTGCGTTAATTTAATGAAGTTTGGTGTGATTTAATTTTGCTATGGAGGTGAGGGGAGGGGGTTTGCGGGTTACTCTGATATTCTTCCGCCACCAGATGCTGCATTCCGGTTCTGATTTATTAACATTTCCGTAGAAATGAGCTGTTGAAAGCAAAAAATTTGTTTTCGTAAAATAAAGACTTTAAATTAAAATAAGAATCTTGTGTTAACGTGTCACATGAAATTGATTGTAATTTGAGGAAATGTGATGCAAAGACTCGTGTGCTAGGCCAGTATTTTAACATCGTTTAATCATTTTCTAATTAATTTATCAGCGTGTTTAATACTCGTACCGTATCAGATATTGGATAGTGATTATTATTCTAAACTCGTATTTCAACAGATTTTTTGCTTCAATATTTTTAAATTTGATTGCTCCGAGAAACAAAATTTACTTTCTCGTAATTGATTACGCTTTCATAAGCTCATTTACATATTAACATTCTAGTAGTGGGTACTATGAGTTGATGAAATTGACAATTTGGTTTTTATGTTTATGTTTAACATGTTGATAAAAGCTTAATTAATGAATTAATCAATTTAGTAGTTGTAAGGCCATCGTCAGACAATTACTTTAGTTCGTAATACAAAGGAAATCTAAGAAATCAAAAGTATTATATTATCCTTGCAACATAGACACTGTTATCTTTGTAAATAGGCGTGTTCAGTTGCTCTCGAACGCTGGAAAGGAAGTTTGAGGGCAGTTGCCACACAGATTGATTCACAAACTGTTTAAATGAAAATCTAGTTCGCTGTGCAATTCTTTTTACGAAGTTGTGATATCAGTACATCATACAAGATAAATACAGCTTCGAATTATATTGAACGCTGGTTAAAGTGTTCGGAATTGTCTGACGAGCGTCCTAACATCGCCAAATGTTAGTCGTTTGGAACTGCAGATTTCTTAACGAGACGCATTCCCGGCTTGTGTCTGATACTTTTAACCTCCAACCAGACCTTCTCTGTCCTTGCCGCAAGTAAAAATTCTGCGTGTGTTGTTGCTTTGTTTTGCAGTTTCCAGGCTCAGCGGGCAAGCCCCCTCAAAAGGGTTCGGCCCCATCCCGTCGAGTTTGTCTCGATCTATCCAATGTCTCATCCGTCCAAGCCCTGTTCAGGCTGATAGCTGACAGAAATGTAATTCTCTAAATCAAAACCTGCTTTTTTATCCTTGTACATGTGTTTTGTGGTTTTGTGTTCTGTGATGCATGGATTTAGTCTTTTGTGACGTAGTGAAGACTTCTTATAGCACGAATTATTTAGTAACTCTGTAAAGCACCGTGGATTTAACGACACTGGATTTGAAGTATTCTGTATTTATATTATAAAATGGCATCATTTTACAGCAAGGTCTTATTGAAATTTGCATTTTAATAAAAATAGTTTTTTTATTAATCGTGTGAATACAGTATCATATTTTAGAGGTTATGTACTATAAATTTTGATGTATGATGCAGATTTGTAGAAACAGTACTGTACCTATTATTTAAATTTCTTTGAGTTGTTCGAAAATACTATGCAGGGAAATTTTTTGTATGCACTCACCCACTTTCACCCATCTTTATTTGGTGTATTAATTGTTTAATCATTAATTTTAGCACTTAATTTATTTTTTGTATTAATTTATTTTGTATATTGATTTAAACTTTGTCGTTTGGGTGAAGAGTATTTAACTCCGGAACTAAATGGCTGCCGGCTGGAATTTAATGGTTTAATGATACATTCCTATGATGCAAGCAATGACACGTAGTCAATAAAACTTACAGAAGCCATTTCCACCCACATTACAAATGCAGTTGTAATTTATAAATAATTTCTTCAGAGCCATTAATTTCAAAACAATGGCTGATGTGAATAAAAATTCTTATCAAATAAAATTCGTACTTTTAAGGCAATTTTAATGAAACTTTTTTGGCCTTGGCAAATGTGTTATTAGACTCTCCCTCGGCACTTTGTGACGTAATACGTCATGACATAACTGAATAAACAATCTTTACCTTACCTGTCTATACGCTAATCTGCAGCCTAATTTTAAATATAAATATCATTGCAAAGTTTCCTGTGTAGTATATGTATTTATATTTAAAGTATAAATTTAATTAAGTTTTATTTTGCATGCCATTATGTAATATTGCTCTTAATAACGTACTTCTGCGTCTCTTATTGATGTTTCTTGTGATTCCACAGTTTGCATGACTGTGAAATGTGGACAAGAAAGGTTAGTTTAATGAAGATTCTATTTGTACTTATATTTAGGTATTTGACATATGAATCACTTTTAATTTTAGAAGGGGATTGATTGTAATGTGGAATAGATTTTAGCTTACATTTTTATATGGTAACTGGGGCAATGGGTTAAACCATGAGAAAGTATTGTGAGTTGCAAGGGTGGCAGTACTGATTAGAGTACTTTCCCCACTGGTGCATGTCCATCGTGGCATGGATATGAATGTTGATTGTAATCTTCTGGGTTGTGATGCTGTGTGATCTTGTAGGTGATTACGGACGTCATAGAGGAATATGTTGTCTAAATCGTCTTCACGCTGAAGATGGTGTTTGAACCAAAAAGGACAAAATATTTACCTCAACAGAATTTTTGTATATTTTTGAAGATCTGTCACCACACAGAATTTCTAGGTCTTTTATTAAATGATGCTGGTGGTCTCTTCTACATCAGATGTTGACACCATCTTCATATTTGTATTAGCTGTCATATCTGTTAGCTTAGAAAACACTTAAAGAGAACCACCTGAAGATGATCAATTAAGGTCGAAACATGTAGTGGATTCTTAATAAACATTGAAACTGTAATAAAAAATTGTTGTGTAGACAGACTTTCAACCACTGAACTCTGTTTACATGTTCTATGATTCTGCTTCAGGCTGTAACAGCTTACAAGCGCCACCTGCGAGATTCCGTCAATTACCTTGGTGCTACCAGTACAGCTGCAGATCGCTTTAGCGATGAAACCTTTCATTTTGAGAAGCGTATTGCAGAGATAACTCCGCCTTCTGTGGACTTGCAAGATCCGACGCAGGCGACGATTGTAACCGTGGAGAAACTCAAGATACTGGCGCCTTCTGTGAGTTAAACCCATGATGGTTATGAAATACATTTGCGTGATGGCGAGGGCTATAAGAAATAGACAAATGATTATGTATTATGGCAACATTATATTGGGCATTGTCCATTGTCTGAGATATACAATAGATTCAGGTCAATTGGGCCATCGGTTAATCAGGGCAGCCGCTTAATTGGGTCGAAGTTTTCTAGTCCTGATGTGTCCCAATTAACAAGAATCCACAGTATTTGATATGACGTTTTGAGTGCTGGCTGTGATCTTGTCTTCAGGTGACTGGTCGTCATGACACTGACAGTTTTTCTTAGTACGTTCATATATTTAATATTGATGACAATGTTTAGGGTTGAAGCAGGGACCTCAGCAACCCATGCTTTCCCATTGCTCACCTTATTTTAGTTTGGGTGTGAGTAATTAATATGCTGAGTTTGAGCAGTAAATGTTGCAACTTTAATAAGGTCACAATTTGTAACATTTTTCATTCTGTCTTTAGATTCCCTTCCATGATATCCTGCTCGCTATGTTTCCTAAAGCAAATATTGGGGACAAAACAGAGGTACTTATGCCGTCAGAGAATTACATCACGAAAGTATCATCTATCCTGTCTACCACTGACAGAGGGTAAGTGGTGTTGTAAATTAAGACATTTTAAACGTAATTAACGTGACTGCTTTTTTCCCCCTAATGATTGTAAACTTTGGAATTGTCAAAGTGTTTTTCTTAATTTCAGGTCATTGAACAACTATATGATGTGGGTCCTTGCTTTGCATTACCTGCCATATCTGTCACAGGAATTCAGGGATACCGTCAATTACTTTACGAAAGAAATGACAGGTAAAATTCTGTGTACCGCGTTCTTGTTTATTTATGTTTATTTTTATACTTTTGTGCCTCCACAGTATGGAAAAGCGTGCCATTGAATTTATTGGTTTGACGTCTAGACTGGCTCTGGGCCACGAGGCCACCTATCCAGTGGATGTTGAGATTCATTTTAATTAAAGCTCAGTGGTTACTGTATGTACCACCAGTAACGCTGAATTTTGCCTACAGAGGGTATTTGTATGATTCTCATAATAAAAAGTGATTATTTTACAAAATATCACTAACCAATTGTTTTGTGTTGCAAAGAAAACACAACATGGACTGAATTTTTATGTAATTAAATTTGTGTGTTAATTTCAGGAGCAAACGAACCACTGCAGCGTTGGGAAATGTGCATAGAAACACTTCAGAGGTTCATGGGATTTGGTCTAGCAGCACTGCAGCACGAAGCCATGAATGAGGCTGACGTAAATGCCGCCACGAACGTGGTGAGTGCAATGCGTAATGGCGTCAACCGTACTCAGATCATCATGTATTATGTATGATTGCAGCAAGATGGAGGATGCGTACAGTACTGTGCCCATTGCGCGTGTCTTAGATGAAACTCATCATCATCACAGTCATCAGTGAAAACAATTTAATATTTCTGATTTGCGTTTGAAATGTAAATGTTTCAAATCTCAGTGAGGGTTCAGGTGTCCTGAAGTTACCCTTGTCTAACACATTTCCATACCACTGCATTGTTTTTTCTAATACATGCATGTTAACTACTTTTAAGGGCCCTTAATGTTATTATCTTAATTTATTTCATTACAGGTGAGTGAAATGTTTGACTTGACTCGTAACCAAGTGAGGAAGAGAGTAGAGCAAGCCGAGTGGCTTCAGTCTGAACTCCGAGCTTTCAAACTGGAGAAGGTACATTTAAAATATTAAGAATATTGTTTGTCAAAGATGTGTGTCATGAAATACATATTTGTGAGTCTCTTGTTTCTTCTATTCAAGTTTTGTTACGAAGTAAGAGCTGCCACCTTTTCCCCATCACATGTTACAGAACCAGCTGAATGTTAGGTTTGAACTTAAATGACAGATTTAAAACAAGTCTGTAAAGGACTGAAAAAGTTTGAACGTATTTTAATCATGTTTTATAAAATACACACTGTATAAAATTGTTTAAGATTAATTATATATTTTAATGACTCGTTAACTTTATCTAACGCACTCTTGTCTCTCGTATATCGATCAGTGTTTGAGAAATTTGACAAAGTTCAGTTTGAGCTTTAGAAGCCTTTATAGTGGACCAGATTGGACCATAACGGAATTCATCTGATGGCTCTTGATGTATACTTGAATAATAATGTTTGTTGAAGAACTGTGAAGTGGTGGGAGAAATGAAACATGAATTAGCAGGTGTCATGGCCTCTTTTGTTATGTGATCTATACAAAGAATACAAGTTCATTGTGAACATATATTTTGAAAGCATGAAGAGAATGATTTATACAAACAGCGACTTACGAAAACGTAACTTTCTGCGATTTATCACAGATAGATACACTGGAACTACAAGTTGGATTTCCGCCAAATCTCTTGACCAAAGAATACAGGGAGCGCTATTATTCAAAACTGTTTGTGCAGAAGAATGATTTCTTCCAAAATATTCAATATGGTGTGGAGTTCTTGCGAGAAATCCAGCAAGAACGGCTAGCCTCTCCTTCTGAAGAGCATAGGTGAGCACAGATATTGTTATCATATCACATTGCATTCCTGATCATGATAACAGATTGCGCTGTATGTGATGTGACTGATATGTTATTAGTATATAGCAGAGGTTCCCAAACTTTTATACCTTGCACCCCCCTTAAAACATTTCATAAATTTCACGCCCTCCTTCCAGAACAGGCGCAAGCAAACAGATTTGACATAAAATTTAGCTATGAGTATACTTAAGACAACTAACAACCAAGCAAAGGATGTTAAAAATGTTTCTCCATATTTCGTTAAAATTTTTTTCATACAAACAACATGCACCCCACACTTTGGGAGCCTCTGGTATATAGAATGTTTCTACATACCCTCAGAATTTTGCAACATACTTTTTTTAAGATGGTCTACTGACTAATTTTTTCTGTCTGTTCATCTCTTTCTCTAGCTTGAAGTTAAATACAGAAATTGGAAGAACTGCTAAGATAATAACCACTAAAGTAGTTTAGAAATTTCTTATTTCTTACATAACCTAAATTTTCATTACCACTTCACAAGCACCTGCACAACATTTTTATTTACTTTGTTAAATCCTGTTAGGTTATGTTTTGTGTACTTCAGATAATGAGCTGTATAGTTTTTATTTTCTTCAGGTGGATAGACGCTTTATCTTCCAGCAGCAGCCTGACGTATGTGGCACCAGCCAACAAAGTGGTTGCACCCCTCCATGTCTTGGTGACGCCAGCCTTCCATCCACAATATCCCTTGTAAGTAGCAGTTTAGTCTGATTTTTTTTTATGAAAGTTGTAAGAATATAAAAATTCCCCAAAGCTCCTTAGTGTGATATTATAGCTTCCATTTCAGATTATAGTTCAACACAAAATAACTTCAAGAGGCTGTAATTTTTTCACCCATTCCAGATAGCGTTTGTTCCATTTTACTTCATGGCTTCAGTGTTGTATGCTCTTGTTTTCAGATCTGTTCTGTACGGCGGTGTGGGCGTTCAATTAGCGTCTGCCTTTGTGTCAGCCGTCCTTCCGTGGGATGTTCTTTATGGAGCTGATGGGAAGATCCTTCCGTCAGATCACGTGATAGTAAACCAGTCAGCCCTTGAAGTACAGGGTCCCATAAAGTTCCTAATACAAGATTTAATTAAGTTGAGCCACGTTTCAGAGTCAGTGGCTAACAGAACAGCTCTGGCAGCCATGAAGCAAATAGCTGCGATCAGGCAAGCGCACTTGGTATGTATTTGTTGGGTTAATAAATGGTGTATCAGCTGGAGAGATTATAACTTACCGAAAGAGAAATTATGGATTGTTGTGAATGTCGGATTGGAGATATTTGCTAGAAACAAAGTGCGGTCTGTATGTTTTTGAATTTATGTGCAAACTCAAGAAATTTGTGACATTAACTGGATCAGTTCTTTGTCTTCGGACACTTCGAGTTACGCCAGTGTTGCCGCTCAACCAACTACCCTGGTTTCTTCTACAGTACATTTTAATTTTCACTCTTAACTTGATTTTCAATCCTCCAGTTTATTTCCATCTGAGATTTCATGTTTTCACATCAGCTAGTATGAAAATGAAGATGGCTGTCTTCTACGTTGTTGTGCTGTATATTCTGGTAGAAGTTTTTGACATTGCGGAGTTGCTTGCTGCCTCCACCATTAGGGTTTTGATTATTGTCCTGATGATGGAGGCAGCCAGCACCTATGAAGCATCAATAAACTTCTACCAGACTACACATAGCCATTTACATTTCATCACTTATAGTCACTGTGAAAGTTTGAAGGTCTCTTGACAGTAAGTCATAAATCATTGTGAAATTTACATGGTGGCATGTTATAATTGCATTTAGTAGTGCGATAAACAATAAAACCTCCTTCGGAGCTCTGGTGGAGCATAATACTTGTTTGCTTGTGTAGGCAATGGTAGCAGCTTTATCCGAGCTGCCTCATACCCACCAGCCAGCGATGGAGATGTTTGAAAGCGATGCTATATTTTTCATCACGCAAACTCAGGTCTGTATAAGATTCTGTTCATATACTTTAAATTGTAGAAGTGTCACTACCTGAATCAGGGAAGGGAAAACTATCGAGAAACAGTGTGATTGGAAGATTACGAAGAACATTTCACAGTTTATTGTGTAACATTTTATTATGTTCTGGTTGTGATATTTAAATCCATCCTGTGATTTTCTACCCCTCAGATGCTGTGTTCTGTGTCTACGGTACAGCAGGATGATACTGATGAAACCATAAGCTTCAACCTGAAAGGATCTTTATTGTGAGTTACAGACAGCTTTGAAATGTATACAGCGGTTCATTGCTAATTATAGTTTTTAATATGCGTAGCTAATATTAACATAATGTATGTGTTGTCCAGTGGTTGACGTTGATTCTTTCTGGTGGACCTAACATAGTATTGTCCGCGAGGCACGAGAGTAGACCTGACATCTTTTGAGGGAGGTGGGGTAGAATTCTGTGCTACTAGCGGACCGAAAAACACCCGCAGCTTATACAGGCCGTATGTCGTGAGATAATGTACTGACTGACTGATAACACAAGGTTCTTAGGTAAGGAATAAGTCACCAGCGCATGTGCAGAACCCACTTCCCCCCCCCTTCCACACAGGCCACGTCTACTCTCGTGCCTTGCGTACAATAGGTTCTCCCCATATTTTCACCTGAGAGCGGAAACTTATTTCGGTTTTCAAAAATGTATTCTTCTCAGAATATCAGGTGATGGACAAAATCCTGAAGTTCTGTAATACTAAATGTAATATACCACTGAAAGAAATATTTGTTTGTATTTTTGTTATAAGTGTTGTTCTTATTAATTCTTTTCATGAAAACTAGCAATGGCTGGGGGTTTGTTGTGCTGACCACACGTCACTCTATGTCTGGTTGGATGATCGTTCACCTCTGCTTAGGCATGTGAACGTGAGGCCAGCAGCCAGCTTTGGATCTCAAAGGGCTGTTAGGCCACGGATTATTATTATTAATATTGTTAATTCTTTAGTTGTCCCTGATGAGATTTCTCATGCATGATTTATAATTTGGATGAGTTATCTTGCTAAGGTCTGGAAGTTTTGTTACCCTGTGTGGCCAAGCTGTAATTGTGTGTGTGAACAGCCAAAGGGTTTTTTGTTGTTGGTTTTCTTATTTAGCAATAATTTATTAATTCAGCAAATTTGGACCATTTTTCCCCCTATTTTTCAGATTGAAGACAGTCCTTAAGCAGTTGAAGTCATTTACAGAAGCTTTTTCCTGCCCGTCTAGTTCAGCATATTATTCGTCAAATATTTGTAAGGAAATACTTTAAAGAAAACATTCAGAATGTTCTGCACATAATCAGGTCCTGTTTCTCTCAAAGTGACAGGCAACTTATTAATACACTTTTTATTTTTTCATGCAAGTAAGATTTTAATTTTTAATATTTTTGTAAATAATAAAAAAGTGATAAAACATAGATAATGTTACATTGGTTGTAAATTGATGCTTTCTTTCATGTTAGGGTTGAAAGCTGTGAAGTCATTGAAATTTTGGTGTTGAAACAAAAACTGGAGTTTATTCAGTGTATGAAACACTTTATTGGCAAATTGAAAACAATTCTTGAAGTGTAATTACACGTGCACTGTGAAGATTGTATGTGGATCAGATAAGAGAGTAGTAAGGTACATGGCAATGCAAAAACACATTCACGGTCCAGTGCTTTGACATTTGTTCTATAGAGAATAGATAGAGTAAATTAATTTTGTGCTTCAGGGATGCCAGGTGATCTATCCCTCCTAGGTTAATGGTTTTACTTTATGCTACCAGATGGACTGCATGTAAGCCATGACATGTGGCTAATAGAGGTTATGTGCCAGTTTTAAATGTGTTGGTCAAGTAGCCTTGTCTGATCAGACTGACACAGATGTTCTATTTTCAAGAAATAAAGATATTTATATTTTTAAAATCTGGTACTATGAAGATTCTGTGTTAATTTAATGATATCTATTGTAGGCAAGACAAAATGTTTATACAATGAAGGTATGTTGCCAGCTGTCATTTGTGCTTTAGGAGTGCAGTCAGTTGGACAGTAATTGCTTTTATTGGCAGTGAATGTGTGTTACTGCAAACTGTCCATTAGATTTCTTCCTGGAAGAGTCAATACATTATTGGCTGATGATGGCAGTAGTAAATCGTGTCTGAACTGTGCGATAAAGTCCACATTTAACTGCCTTCTCTTTGTGATTCTACCTAATTGTTTAGGTATTTTTTATCAATTTGTACATATATCTTTCATTTACTAATCTAATATAAAATTTGTATTCATGTAAATAGGAAATATATATATTGCTTAAAATGTCTTTTATTATAATAATAAAATACTTATTTGTTTGCTTGAAAATTATAATGTTGCAGCTTCCACTACCCAATGTACACATCTCGCACTAATGGTAGAACTGTTACAACAAGAGTTCATGATGGGCTACCTGCAGTGAATGATATTTTAGGATGATATGAAATGTAAGTCAGGGTTGATTCAACTGGCTGAGGACAGGATCCAGAGATGAGCTTTAGTGCTTATAATGTGACTCTTACTCTTTAATAATAGAATATCAGCCAGACACCAAAAGTTACTTTGAAAATGCATACTTCTTGGTTGTAGTAATGACGGAAAGTTTTATTATTTAATGAAAATGTGCCATTTGTAGATAGACAACCCACATAAAGTGGAAACGTACTATGAGGAAGGGGAAGAAGAATATACAGTTGTTAAAATTGAATGGTATGTGATGATATAAGATTTTGTTGTACATTCATATTACGAGGGGTAAAGAAGATACATATTCTACTGACCACAAATTCTGGATTACATGTTTGATTTTGGAGGTACAAACACCTCTTCTTAAAACTCTGTGAAGGTTATAAATCTACAGGGTTCATGTCGCAGAAGGACATTGGGTGGATCTAGAGTCTAGGAGGAGAACCATTTTGTTCTACACTAGCAGTTTATGATAGACTATATCTCTCAAAGGTGGTTGTATATGGTCCAATTAGATCTTTGCATACCACAGGATCATAGTAGCTGGTTTAGTTAAAAGTTACCAGCAACATGTTTGAGAAATTATTCATTGTATAAAATTAAGGAGCTTTCCTGTTGAATAAGCTTCAATGGCCAATCTCCCTGTAAAGTTTAATGAAAATCCGTTCAGAAATTATTATATTGAAGGCACAATAGTTCTCTGTGCCACCGATTGATGGCAGCACGAATTTGGCTGAAAAATGCGACACAGACAGGTCTATCCTAATTACATTCAATAATGGAGTTGATGGTAAATATTTTTAATGTCTTATTGACGAAATATTTTTCAATTCCCATTAATTATCCCTTATCCATCACATTTTCTGAAACGGAAGTTCTGTACAGAACATGAAAAAGTAGTCGTAGCTACTACGGTTTTTCATCTGTGTTCATCACAAACGCAGCGGACTTCGATATCTCGAAATGTAAGCTATTAATGGCTGTTTATTTTTATATTTTGGAGGCAAAGCCATCATTAGTTTATTCTTAGTTGATTTTCAAGTTCTGATATTTAGAGTAGATCAGTCTTGAAGGTTTGGTACATCGCTTTCATTATTTTATACGCTTATTTAGTGGTTAGTTTAATAGAAATGCCAAAACGAAAGTTGGAAGATGAACTCGAAGAGGACTGGGCAGACACTGGGACTAAAATCAAACAAACTAATAAAAAGAATTCACTTGATTCTGACGAAGAAGATGATGGAGAGGAAAAAACTTACGATATTCTAGCAGAAGATGAAATTGAAGGTGAGAATTTAGACTTTGAATTTTCAAAACTTAACATTTTTCAATATGAATTAGATACTCTTAGAGATTACTATATATCAACTAGTATTGTAAATTGTCATTCAGATTCTTTCGTTTTTATTTACGATCAGGTCAAGAAGAGGGAGCAGCTGGTTTTGATGGTGAAGTGAGAATTACACCATTCAACATGAAGGAGGAATTGGAAGAAGGACACTTTGATACTGAAGGCAATTATCATTGGAAAAAAGGAGCAGAAATAAAAGATAATTGGTTAGAAAATATTGACTGGGTTAAGGTAATAACCACTTAAAGCATTTGAGGTTGTGTGGTGGTAATAGATGTAATAATAACGACGTAAAACACTGTAAGAGATTTAGTGACATTAAATTTCCATTTTGATGAGTGAACTAAGTGAACATTTGTTGAACCCTAAGTTATCCAGATGTGACATTTAGAAAATGTTTGTATTCCTGAAGATTAAACTTGTGTAAGCATTGGTTGTTCTGTGTACAGTTCTTTGATGGACCTATGCTAAGAAGATGTGAAGAAATGTGGAATTTTCTTTTCTTGTTTCAGATAAAGAAAACAGACAAGTTACCTCAGGAAACTGAAGGCAATGGAAGTGACAGCGAGAGTGATTATTCTGATGTTGGCACACCTTTTGATCACATAGCTGTTTATAAACAAATGCTAGAGTTAATGAAGCCAGGCGAATCTGTTGCAAAATCATTACGAAGGCTTGGTGAGTTCATTGCGGCATTAGGAATTCTTAGTGGTCACTTCTTTATAGTTTTATATTTTATGACTTGTTTAATGTTATGAAATTTAAGGAACATACGGAAGTTTAAAACAAGTCTGATTGTAAAGGTTTTTCTGGTTTTTGCCGCAGAGTTTATATACATGGATAAGGTGGTCCCATTGCTTCTTGTCTATAGTCGATGTAGCCTGAAGTAAGAACACCACCAGAAAGGGAAATGGATGGCAGAATAGCTCTGACGTATGGTTGTTTTGAGCTGCCTGCAACATCCTACATATCCTATAGTGTTTTGTTTTTAGGGCTGCAAATTTACAAGGAACCCTCTTAATGAGGTTGTTATTGAGGTATGGGAAGGTCTAAGAAATGCATCCAACTGTTTGCACTCTTCGAAAATTATTATTTGATGATGCACACTTACAACTGCATTGCTCTGAGTACTGAGGCGTAATTGTATTTCCTTAATTGTTTGATTCTTTTGTGTGCTGTTTCTGTATTAAATATTTAAACATTTGTTTAACAGGAGGCAACAAAAGTCTGTCGGCATCTGAGCGCTGGCGACGAAAGAAAGCCGGACAGGATGATGGTACACAAGACAACCAGCAGCAAGTTACAGACTTGACTGAGCTAGCGAATCGGCTCCTTACCAAGACTGGCAACATGGACATTTACCAGGAAAGCTATGAACACATTGTCAAGTTGGTAGGTATCATAGACATTGTTGCGATGTTTTATCTCTGAACATACAGATGGACGTGTAGTCGTAGATAAATGAACTCAATTTGGGTCTAAGGCAGTGGTTCCCAGTTTTTTTTTCTGTCATCTGCAAACCCTCATACTTACTGTTTTAGGTACTTTGTCGGCATTACAAATAAAATAAAAAAGAATTCTCCTGGTGACCCTTCGCATTGCTACTGTTGATGTCTGTGAACCAAAATGGTCAACATTTCTTTCCTTTTTTCTTTTTTGTTTTCTTTTGGATGCAGTGGAACCAAACCCTGGTTATTCAGCCCTTAGCATATTCTTAGTGACCTATTCTGGCTATAAAATTTGTTTATGGAACATTTAGTGTTATGAAATATTCTGTATATGTTATGACTTTTAGCCACATTGAAACTTGTGTAAAAACCCCGTTGAAAGTCACCGGGAAATGCCAGTGTCCTCTGTCGTGGTGCCATGTAGCCTCGTAGGTACATGCCAGTGTTTCAGACAAACTTACTTTCTGCACAGAGTCACAACCTGGAAGAACATTGGTATCTTCATCGTCGTGAAAACCTCAGATCTCATCGTATCTTTATTCTCACCCTCTTCCTTATTTCCTTTTATCTGTTCTATATGTTTGGTAATCTACTTATGTGGCACAACGATATAGAATAAGCTGTCTTTAAACTCTCTGCCATAAGAACCTCAAATCCGTCTCCTCACAGATTGAAAATGCCGAAAGAAAAAATGTGAGGATGCAATCCAGGCCAGCAGCAGATTACGAGGACGCGTTAGATATGTACGCGGATGATTTTGATGAAAAGGAGAAAGCAAGAATGGAGCAGCAAGCAGAGAAGAAGAAGAGTAGGGGAGAAGAGGTAGCTGGCGTAAGCGGAGAGTCGGAAAATGGAGGCGCGACGGGGAATGGAACTGCGAGCGGTGGGCAGGGAGACAGCCAAGGTAAATATTGCAGTAGACATTTGCTGTGTTCGAGGTAATATAGGGTGCACTTTTATCATGTTTTTTACCATTGATCTACTCCCTCTTGAGAAGGTGTGAAAGTTTGTTAGGACGATGATGATGATGATGACGATATTAGATTTTGTACAGGCTTTTAATCCTTTGTCTGCTGCAACTTCGGAATTGAAAGTTTTTTAGTGCCAACCTCACATCACTCGTAAAGCAGAGCTGAGTTCTGATAAGAAGCTGGTACTTTGCTGAGCTGGTCAAGAAATTTCCTGCCTTTTATGGATCCTCAAGGTTCACGGCTGTGTTCACAGTCGTTTTTGCCACCCGTTCCCATCCTGAGCCGGACGAATCCAGTCCATACCCTAGATCTGGTTTGAGATGTATCTGAATGACGTACTTCCATCCTTGCCTGTGTCTTCCAAGTAGTCTCTTTCCTTCTTCCCTTGAGCACCTCTGGATCGTTGTTCTGTTCTTAATATACGGATATCGTTCGCAGTCTGTCGCACTGCAAGACCTGATTTTATTTTTATTTTGACAGAGGTAATGTGGGAATTTAAGTGGGATGAGAAGAGTACGGATATCCATGGACCGCACACGTCATCCCAGATGCAGTCCTGGGTGGATGAAGGCTACTTCAAAAAATCGGTTCTTGTGCGCAAATGCAGTACGGATGGTCAGTTCTACAACTCGTCTAGAGTGGATTTTGAGTTGTACATGTAATCGCAGTTTTCTTCCATTGTTTTTTTGTGTAGTTTGGGTTTGTATTTGAACTTTGACACATCTTGAATTACAACGTACCGTTCTTTGAGATTTGTTTACCAAGAATCAAAGAAATATTTCACTGTTTACCCTAATCAAGGTATAATATAATTTTGCTTGAATAATTTCTGTGTAGTGGGTAAATGTGAAGTAGGCATCGTGGAGGAGACAAATATATTCGTGAAACTGTTCGCTGCAGAAATTTTCTTGATGCATGTGCTTGAGATATTGAAGACTGAATATCGTGTGTGACATTATTTTCTGCAATCTGGAATTTTGAATTCTTCGAAGACTTCCCATTTTATATGAAATTAATATTTACCAGGTTAAGTCTATCAGCCTATTTGATCATTTAATGTCATAATTGTGAGCTAAGGGCATAGAACGGGAGATGCTGTTTCGTACTTTTGGTGGGATATGCAGCAGCATTTGTCATGAACTGACTGAGGTGCTGAGGAGGACACCGAGCTGCAGTCTGAACATTGGGAACCAGAGCATCTGGTAGCAGGTGGCGCTGCTTGATCTATAGCGTGCGTGTTCATGTCATACAGTGGAAGGGAATGTGTAAGCTGTAAATTAGCAAAATGTTCTTTGAGCGTGGCTGGAGCTGCTTGACGTGCGTTTGCGGTTGAACTGCTTTTCCATCGCACGGTTCATATGAGTTTGGCATCGGGACTCGTCAGCACTGTCTGCTCCATTCATGTTTGTGATGTATTTGTGGATTGCTTCGGATCCTTGTCTTTTCTGCGGTCATGATTACATTTCTTTGCTTAAAATCTGACACTGACGTTCTGAACTGCTGGACGCACTTTTATCTCGGTAGTTGGGCTGAGGGACCTCGGCAGTGACGCAATGGAACGGCAGTCTTATTATTGGCAGAGCACTAACCTGCGGTGAAACACATTTCAGTTAGAAAGCCTGGAATGCTCCTTGTAATAATCATGCCTCTGAGTGTACATTTTAGCGTTCAAGGTCATTGTAAGCTGTGATTTAATGACCTCCATTCTGAAAAATTTGTCTGCTTAGATTTAACAGATCACACAAAATATTTTATGTACTTTAATGCACCGAGCATCATGTATTTTTCTGAACGGAAATATGTCCAAGGGATAAAAATATACAAATGACAGCGTACATCCAGAATGTATTTGGTGTCAAATGTCTGTTACTGACAGAGCAAATTTTATAATAAAATGTTGACATCTGTGTAAACAGATGTCTTTGTTACCCAGTTGTTGATTACATTGAAAAGAAAAGAGAAAAATACCTGAAGTTCTGTGATCATTATTGAGTAAGATATGGTGTCTAATCGTGTGAAAAGGTCCAAAGCAATTTTGCATGATTTAAAGTATCATTTATTTATCTTTTAATGAGCAGTTGAAGTGATCGTCAACGAGTAGCCGAATGCACTAATATTAATAGATTAATGAGGTTTTGTGAATCTGTGAGTCGTCGGTATTTCCTCGCTTCTTAGCTTTTACCCATTACAAATTACTATGTTTTGTATTTGTTTATCTGTCGTAGCTGTACAGCCACTCTCAAAATGCGGTTCTCTGTAAGTTGGCGGGGGAAGTTTGTGGATGTGTGTACATTGATTTATCCATGGTTTTGTATTATGGCGTTTTCCATTTGGTAAACACAAATGAGGCATTTAATTTCTTATCCTTAAGGCAACTTATTTTAGTGTGTCGTCGGTCGCACATTCAATGTGTGACTACTGATAAAAAGTTCGTAAGTCACTTTTCTCGTTACCAGGCAGAAGTTTAAAAGGAGAAGTAATTTATGTGGAAGAGCACCAGCATCTTACTTGACTCTTTTGTACCGCACATTTTTAAGATGTCAGCCGTGTGAATATTGACCCCCCTCCAACATTCCGTATGTCTGATGTTTATTGGAATTGAATGTCTTGATCTTAGTCAGGAAAAATGCGTTTCAGCATTTGAAATCGCAGCTGCTTTGTGCCGCAGCCACGCAAAATGCCTGAATACTGATTGTCACCGGCCGACGTTAGGGGCGAAGGGGTTAGTCCGATTAATTGGTATTTTTTAAATGTTTGTATGAAAGAGGAATGTCGAGAACCACAATTGTGGGGAAGGTAGTCGTGGACACCGCGTCAGTTGAAGGTCGGTCAGTAGCCGGTACCACAAGCAGACATTTGATCAAATTAACGGTGGATTTGTAGTATCTCTCTCTGATTTATTGGGGGTGTAAGAGAGGATGTGGCAAGTCTGCAAAGTATTGCGATGTAGCAATGACGGATTGCTCGGCGTATTAAGATATCGGCGTCAGGTCACTTGCTCAGACGGCACAAACATTTTTAGACTTGGTTACGCCTGTGAATGGATTTCTTGTCTGTTGTGACATTTTAGTAATTTGTGTTCCTGTAACTGGAGGAGGAAGTCTTATTTTGTTGGTCAATCTGTAGAATTATTTACAAGGTTAATTTCTGTTAAAACTGAAATGGAAATGGTCATTAGTGTGTAAGTAACTCAAGTTTTTCCTGAAGTTTGAGTGTGTTAGGCCCTAATTGTAAATAAAGCCATGTTTGTTTTGTTCTCTCCAAATACTGGTGATTGATTTAATATCCAGCTTTGACGTTGCTCTGTTGTATATTTTGGTTTCTATCTATTACTGCGTCTGTAGGTGTGTATGTGCCGTGCCACGGTGAACTGACGACAAGTTTGTACGTCTTCGTGCGATCATCGGCCACTTTTACGTCACATCCACGTCATTCACATTTGTTTTGTATCGTCGTGAATCTTGGTTTCTCATCTTAAGGGTAGAAACCAGAATTTGGATGTTTGAGAGGAACGAGTGACAGGGTAATTGAGAAAACTACATAATGAGGAACTTTGTAATTTATACTCTTCAAATAAAAAAAATAATTCTATTAGGATCGAATCAAGGAGGAAGAGGTGTCACACATGTGAGAGAGATGAGAAATGTGTACAGAATTTTAGTTGGAAAACCAAAATGGAAGAGACTCCTTGGAAGACCTAGACGTAGATGGGGGATAATATTAGAATAGATGAAACGGAGTTGGGTGTGAGGGTAGTGACGTGGTGGAAATAAGCCAGATTTCCATCTAGAACGACATTAAAATGGGGTGAATAATTGTATTTTTGCTTGAGGGCTGATGCAGTTACGAATGATTGCACATCCCGCGTGTAGATGAAGGGGGAAGAGACATGACGCTTGCAGTTGCCCGATGATTCACTCCACTCGTTGGCTCAGCAGCTGGCAGGCGTCGAGACGCTTGTGTTACGTGGCAACCATATCCAGGCGTGGTTTCTCCTCAGTTTAGAATTGGATCGGACGCCTGTGCCATGTGACAGGCCATTCGGTTAAGACGGGGCCTTTCAACGCGGGAGAGCCCCCAATGTGAGAATGGAGGGCATGGAGGTCCCTTGTTTTTTTTCGTGGTCCTTCTGCGACCCTCGAAACTATCACACGTGGTTTTATTTCAGTATCCTATTCGGGACAAAATTTTAAAACCTGTTACGTGCCTGAAACTTTCTGGCCTTTCGGGAAAAGTGAAGCGTGAAAGAATTATGACGTCAGAATGGCGATTGTCATGATTTTGCGGTTTTAATTGTACACTGCGATTCGCAGGAACGCAAAAAATTTCGCCTGCAAATGCAAGGAGCGACTCCTAATAATTAAGGACATGGCTGCTTCCTTATGCACGATTCCTCTTTCGACACTATACAGGGTGTTTCTGAAACATCTATCATAGGCTGATTGTGCTGTAACATTAGTTTGAGGTCAAGTGAAGTTTTTTTTTCCTTCGGTGTTTGGTTATTTAACGGCGTTGTCAATAGTTCTGACTATGTAGTGTCAAGTGATAGGGTGATTAATGAATTGGAAAGGATATGGCAGGAGAAACCTCAGGTTAACCAGTTTCTGATCAGAGATTTGGCTCATAACCAGAATCTGTACTAGTGGAAGTGGTAGACTGATTTGTGTAATTATTTTATGGTTACTGCTAGCATCACTACGTAGTTGAAGGATTTGAAGGAATCAGGAAGGTTGCGATATGTTCAGTTTTTCTTTCGAAGTACTGTACATGCCCTGAGCTGTTTGTACGAGGCACCATGGAGTCGTTGTCCAATGTCTTTGCGTTGGAAACGTAAATATTGAATATAATTTTAAATTGAATTTCAAGGTCGCTGGTTCCATTTCTCGCCGCTTAACCATTCGTCTTGATCGGGGCAAAGCAGAAATTTCTGATGTCAGATTCCACTGAGTTAAATCGAATAGATCGAAATCATTCGCGTCCTTGTCAGTGAAATACGAATTTGGTTTTTGATTGTTTGATAAAGTAACTTCTCTCATGCTTGTGACGCTAACCAAGATAATGTTATAATTAACACAGATGCAGTCGAAAGCTTCTGGGTTTATTTGAACCGGCGTGGTTCGCAGCGCCGACACACGGGTTTGCTTCGACCCACCCCTTGCCTCTGCCACCCCCCCAGTCAGCCAGTCTACCCCGTGCTTTCTAGGGGAGCGCACACACATACAGTGACAACGCGCCGCTTTGGACAACTCTCAGCTGTGCCAGAAACACGGTAAGGAAACAGCTGTTATTTCCTCTAGCTTTAGACGTTGAAAGCAAAAATGTTTCAGTCCAGGGTCGCGGACAAAGGACGACCTACCGATTTAATGTTTTGTGTGGGCGTGAAGCTTGCAGATGGAGGGTGTTTGACAACAGGGTGCTGAGGAAAATCTCGAAATAAGAGGGATGAAGTAACAACGTCTACAAAATATTAAGTCGAATACAATGAGACGCCTGGCGATTGTAGAACGCGTAGCTAAAGTCCCACCCCATAATGATGTTCTGGAGGGGAGGAGGTTTAGCTTTACGCATTTTTAACGTCGATGTTGGATTGAGGTGTGTGGTCAGCTTTGTAATCCGCATTGAACCCAGAAGATACTCATTCTAGACTCTACGTTTTGCCCACAGAGTGTGTTCATGGGTTTCGTATATGATTCTCAGAATAAACAGCGATTATTTTTTTAAACAGCGTCAACCAGTTGATCTTTGTAATGGTGAAGAGTTGTGTTTTCTTCGCGGTACGGACTGAGTTTTTTAAATACTATTCAGACGAACTATGATTCTCATCGTAACAAGCGATTATTTCCTTAACCAGCGTTAACCAGTTGATCTTTGTAATGGTGAAGTGAGGTGTTTTCTTCGCGGTACGGACTGAATTCTTAAATTTTGTTTAGACGAACCGTGATCCTCGATGTTAACAGCGATTGTTACCTTAAACAGCATGCTTGCCGCTATGAGAATCTCAATTATAAAAAAATGTAGAATTATTGAATGAATTAAGATAATTTGGTACGTTACGAGCCGTGTAACCTCGTGGACGCACACCATCGCCGGCGTGGCTTGCGTCCGTGTCCTCATCAGCCTTTATTCGCATTTTATTCTGGTCTTAATTCCTCCACGCGACTTCTAAAAGTCTGTCCGGTCGTGCGGTTATTATTGGTGATGGCTTTTTTGCGACCCGGGGATCAAGAAACTCGGGTTTAATGTCCGCATGCACGGCTTACAACGCCAGGAGAGACGTAAGTGCGTCTTGCATGTGGCCTGTCTGGCTTTTATTGGTTGGCGTTTTAATGTGGACGAATTGAACACACAATATGGATATGTGCCCGGTGAGACGTTTCATCGCAGAAACCACCGACAGCATTTCAACTAAACTTGGTATCGGTACTGTGCGCCAAAATTTTTCGAGTTTGTTTAATTTAGGTTTGCATCGGTCCAGTTTTACACTTCTTTACATGACTCAAGTCGAGCGGTCAAATTTAACAAAATCAAATTTTGATACAAACACTTATGTGATAAACATCTGAAAGCGATTGTCTTATGCGATATTGCGCCGTGTAGACTGCTTGAGCAGTCTGGCGATGAGTTACCGCCCTGATGATGGAGGCAGTAAGCACCTCCGAAACATCGGTCGGTTTATAACAGACTACGCGACGTGCAACATCCCAGACGACTGTGAGAACCTGAAATCTTACATTGTTATAATTTGCTTTAAACATTTTCTATATGATGCGTATTTAATGAACTCTAAGGAAAAATGCCTCACCTCAGTGAAGTTTCTTTTTAGTACGTTTGTGAGGAACTGAGGTATTTACGTCTAGACGCAATTTTTGTTTATGGGTTTAAATCAAAACGGGTGATCAGTGGAACACGCCAGGTTGTTGCATTGGTCGTCAGAACTTGCTGCACGTACAGCCGTGCGGCTCTGATCGATAGCAGGTGGAGAGGTTTTGAAGGTCTGCTGCCTGACGCCGTACCCTAAAATCATGTATCGAAAAATGCACACGAGGTTCTGCACTTTTCCCGATAGTTACGACTGTTGAAAGTGTCTATTTTGCGCTGACAGGCGATTTGTGAAAGTATGTGGAACGAAGTTTTCCAATTTTAATCGACACAGATCCGGGTTTTTTTGCTTAGCACAGTTTACACTGATGCAAGTTTAATTCGGTACGGAAAACTATTGATGCGATATTTTTTTAAGGTTAATATGGCCCCTTATCACATGCCGTTAATGTCGTGTGGGTTAAAATGTGCACGTTATTCTACAAACATTGATAAGAGATAAAACATTCAATTTCTGAAGAAGTAAAGAGCAGATTAAATGTGGGATTTGTTTTCTACAGAGTATTTTATGTTCTCGGATGAGACATAAAAACTTCAAGGTTAAAATAACATTTTATCCGTTGTCTTGTCTGGATGTAAATCGTGGTACTTCACTTTAAGGCTGACGTTCTCTAAGGACAAGGCACTGAGGAGAATGTTTCGACGCAAGAGTTTCGAAGTTACAGGAGGATGGGCAAAATTATGTAATAAAATGGGCCGGTCATGCAGCACGCAAGGGGCGACCAGAAATGAATGCATGTTTAGTTTTAAAACTCGGTGGAAAGAGCCCCCTGGGAAGATGTAGGTGTAGATGGGAGAATTATATTAAAACATACCTTTGGAAAATAGGGTGTGGCGGTGTGGACCGGATTCATCTCTCTCAGGGCCGCAACTAGTGGCTCCACCGTCACAAGGATCAATTGGTTAACGCTGTTTAAGGAAATAATCGCTGTTTACTCTGAGAATGTTACGAAACGCATAATTACAAAATGAAGAGTTGTTTGTGCGTAAAGATACCACAGGACTTCAAAAGGTTAATTCCAGGAGCAGACGTGGTGACCTGCGTTGCGGAACATTCTGTACACTGCAGTATCACGCCATTGATTGTCCAGACCGTGTATTTGAAATCTGCTTGGCCTTGCAAAGACCCTAGCTGGATTTCGCATGCAAGTCAGACTTGAACCCCGGCTGTACTCGTTTATGCAACTCTTGAGGTCGCAAACGTCACAGAAATCTTTACAAATTTCCCTTCATTTGTTACCGTCGCTGGATTACCAATTTCATTCGAGTGTCAGAAACTTTAAGCTTGCAGCTGGAACTGATTAAGTAACTTCATAATTCAGGGACTTCGTTGAAAGGCTGGTAGTTGCAAAGCTGGTCAGAAAATATCCGCTTTCAAAGAACATAACACTATCTTATGGGATGTTGCCCTGAAGATGGAGGAATTTAAGAACAGTCGCCCTCAGCCCGTCTGTGTATTTAACAAATCACACAGCATTGTCTTCTGTTTATCAACTGGGTTGCAGTCTTACATTTATCTTTTGGAAACGCTTTATAATTCCCAGTAAGACAAAAGGTAGGACCCTTAGATGGGGGATCAGGCAGTGGCAAGGCTTTGAAGATGACGAAAGTATGAAAAGTAAAATCAGTACGTGGAGTAGGATTCGAAGCCGCGTTCGTGATGTTTACACAACCACCAGATCCGGTCCCAAATGTTGGTACCTGTTTCACGGACGATAAACATTAACTGTCTCTCGCCATCAGCGAAGTTCGTTTGATATTTAAGTACTGACTCATTTACCTGCTTAGCTCTGGCGCCTTGTTAAACGCTGTGACGCAGCAGTTGGCAGCCTTGCACTCATTTTAATGTACGTAGTAAATCTGACTCAGCTGCTTGTTATGTGGGGTAGTCTAATTGAATTGTCAAGGCGCATTCTTCAATTGAAATCTCCCTTTCAGCTGTAATCACGTTATAGCAACTTAATTAAATGTGTAAGGCTGTTTATACCTTAACCTTCTTTATTTGATAGAGCAAGACAGACTTAAGGCACTGTCTCTCTTAGAAAACCCCCTAAATGTCTTGGCGGATTCCCCCCGATTATGAAATTTGGTGTTTTAGGCGTCGATTTTGTTGTTTCCATTGGGACATTGAACCTCTTGCGCGGTGAAATTGGCGTCCTTCGAAGACCGCGTCATCTGCTGGCATCGCGACAGAAAGACTGCGACGAAGAGCTTCGAGACGCTCAGCGTCGGTTTTATAGTTTCTTTTCAACATATGGGGAATTAGGTGCGGAAATTTTTGCGTCTTTTCTGTTCGTCGCGACGCCTTTCGGTGACTTACTGCCATCTTGCCCAATTATATTCCATGGGATTTAACCACATTTCTGCCGTCTTGTATTGGCGCCGCGAAGAAAGTCCTCCCGGCGCGTAACGCACAGTTTCGCTGTCTTGAAATCTCGCTGTATATAAACGGTTATGTCACCTGGTTATTTTTATCTAGAGACGTGCCCAAACAACAACTGGCCCCATTATCTGTGCTGTGTAATTAATGGAATAAACTTTGTTTCCGCGTGCGTCATTAAAGATTAAGTACTTCCTGAAACTAACCTTTGCTGCAACTCAATTGATTACGTCAATATTATTGACTGTTATGCGTGTAATTACCGAACTCCGTTATCTCATACTGCAGTGTAAGTTCTCCAGGACCACCTCAGCCAGCCTCGTTTCAAGTTCCTGGTACTTCATGTCAATGTCGATGACTCAGCGTCCCCCCACCCCACACCTACCCTGTCCCGCTTTTGTGTCCAAAGAACTTGACTGCAAAGTTTTGCGTGTACAGCACAGACTTGAGACCTGAGGCGTCCTTCGTGATAATAGCACAAGTAAGCTAGAAACACTGCTTTGTGTGGCGTCTTATTTAGCGTGCAGTAGCTGGCTGTCACTTAACTTTTAGTACAGTTAATTTCCCGCTTGGATGGTTTTGGAACGATGCATTTTCAAAATGAGACAGTAGCCACTGGATGCTGTTATACAGGGTGGCCCACGAAATAACACCCGGTTGAGAGTTTAAATAAACACTTTAAGATTCATATTTATTAATGTCCATAAAGATATGTGTTCCCTTATATGAATATTATCGCTTTTATTTAAACTTTTAATTGGGTGTCATTTTACGCGACACCGTGTAGAATCTGGGAGTCGAGAAATGTGATAATGGGCGGTCAGTAGTCGACTGGTTAGGTTAGTATTTGCCATTGCGTAAGGACGGCTCGTGGACGTTTCTGCAGCAGAACTGAGTTTGGACATCGCTACCAGAAGAATTAGTAAGTCCCAGATCGGTCTTGAGCCAATCAATCAGTTATTTACAAGTCGTATTTTGTGATTCCGCAAATGACTGTCTTCTGGGTTGCTTCGCCGTGTAGACTTTTAGAAGTTTACAGACGTTTCAGAGGAGCTTGCTGCCTCCATCATCAGGAAGATGAGGTCCCGATTGAGGCAGCCAGCAAGGACCTCTGAAACGTCTGTAAACTTCTACCAGACTACACGGCGCAACAAACCAGAAGACAGCCATCGTCTAAAAATTATCCGGTGGGTTGATTTAAACATTTGTGGCGTCCTCAGTCGAACATTACCAGCTCGAATACGGCCGCCAGGATAAGGACACGCACGTCAGTGGTCAGCGGATCGCACTCAGTCCGTTTAATCCGATCCGCTGAGTGTGAAAATGATCTCTCGTCGTTGATGCACACGAACCAGTGGGTGAAGGCGACCGCACGGTTGGTTTTGTGAGCTGAGCCGGAGAGACTGTCCCGTGGCGTCGTGGCAGTGTTCACCCGCTCCGAACCAACTTCGTCTCGCCCCGGGGACGGTGATGAAGGTCCAGAGGCCAGCGTCGCATTGCAGATGAACTTTCTGGTTCCGACTGGTCGGTCCGCTGTTCGCTGTTAAGTGGCTACACACCGCGGTCAGCTGCTGTGGGAAACCAAAGCCCGTCTAAATAGCATTTAAACATTCAGTCCGTACTGCGAAGAAAACACTACACTTCACCATTACAAAGATCAACTGGTTAACGCTGTTTAAGGAAATAATCGCTGTTTGCATCGAGAATCACACGAAACACATAAATAAAAATGCAGGGGGTACTGATTGTTAAAGCAGGTGGAACGTATAGTTACCAATGGACTTTAAAGTGTTGAAAAAGGACTGTGTTACATGAAGTAAGTTGAACTATCTTTGAAAACTGTAAGTCCGTTTTCGAGCTGCGCAAATGACGTTCTGAAAGCAAAATGTCGTCTTAACTGCACTGTTATATCTCTTTTACAGGTTAGGTTAGGTTGAAACTGTTTCTGGTAAAGACGCCAAGATGGCGGCTGTAACATCGCCACTCTTAGTATTGCTCCTTCAAGCAGTGGTGTCGATGGTAACATCACAAAACCCCGGTAAGTGCGGATTGTATCTTTTTTAACTACATTAATGGCTCCAGAAATAAGCTTGCGTATTTGATAGGGCGATTTCACAGAGGCTTGTGACTAATAAAGTTTAGGTTATTATAGCAGATTGTAGCGGACTGCCAAAACCTGTTTTAATACCGATTAAAATACAACAAAGCACATAAGAAGATCACTTAAAAGATTATTATGAAGTCTAAAGAGCTTCATCGCTGTCGAAGAGGTGTAATGTAATTCTGTGTACGAACTATCTCGTTAATGCGTCCAAAGTGAAGGAAAGTCACGTGATCGTCACCAGGACAACGAAATGTTACCAGTTTTTCAAATGTAGTAATTAGAAATATGATTACGTTACGTGCTGTCAGTGTGATGAACTCCACGGAATGGAATCCTTGTTTAGAATCTGATAGTCGCTCATTTAGCCAAGAAATATCCCGTTGTTTATGTAACCCGAGGGTTTGTTACCGTGTTCACAGAAGCCCGTCACTGGACCATTTTTTGAGCCAGTTGAATTCATTTACCATTCTTATTCCCTGTTTGTTTAAAATACATTTTAATATTACCCTTCCATCTACGCCTAGGTCTTCCATGTTGTCTCTTCCCTTCAGATCTTCCGATTAGAATTAGGAGGGAGGCAGGCCGAAGTGGCTCGCAGTGGGAACCCACGATTTATTTTCATGACCTTGAACAAACAATTTCAGAGCCAGCAGAACAAAAGTGAAGTTATTTTTTTATCCTGCACAGAATAAGCCAAAGGAAAGTTATTTACACCGACGGATTTGAAGCATCCTTAGAAATTTAGTCCTTTGCCTGGAAAATAATTTATCTTCGTCTATAGTCTGGGTCTGTTTACCATACGCAAGTATGAACGCGTTCAAAGTAATGGGGTTAAACGGAGTGTTTAGGATATAAGACGTTGATTTTGTTGCTTTCATATCATCGAAAATATCTCGAAAATTCTGTATGGCTCTCGTCTGCATTTCATAGAAAGTATTCGTCCAATATGCAGTAGATTCAGCTATCGAAATTCCAAAACTTCGGTATATGTGTTAGAGATAACTCGTATATAATTTTATGACGTTCGTAGGGCGAATATCAGTGGCTTCCAACCTTATGAATAAATACAGGGTGTGGGATATTTCATAATATTAAATGGATATTAAATTTTGTAAATAGACGGGGACTTTATTGATGGTGACGTTCCAATGTCGTTTTACAGCTGCCAGTATGTAATTCGTTATTCGGCCTTTGTATGATCGACACCCGTGACATTTATGGATGAAAAGTCATTTAATTTTCTGTTTTGAGCAAATAACAGAACATTGCAGTGCCTAGTATTTTTATACCGTCTATAAAAATCTATTACTAAACCTCGTCTTGCGTGAGAAGAAATCAGCACACAAACCCGAATGTTTGTTCAGAGCCGATAAACTGAACACTGCGCCAGTTCCGTTGTCTTTACTCCTGCCCTCCTCACAGTGATCCGCCCCGCTGTTTAACCCAAGTGTGGTGACCCCGTTCGGTCTACGCTTCCTTGCGCCGTAGAACTAGAAGCGATGTGAGGAAATTTGAATTATGGTCTCCCTATTTGTGACGTCGTGTGGTTACTAACGTTTCAGAGGAACGTATTTCAATATTAGGTTCATCCGGAGGAAATACAAATTGAGGGCTATAAACCGAGCGAAATACAGGGTGTGCCAGAGCAAGGTCGGGATTTAAGTAAATTATAACTCTCAAACCAACTTGCCTCAGTCATATTGAATGCTTCTGAAAATTTGAATTGTACAAAGAAAATTGAATTTTCCTTCAATATGACGAGTTTTCGTGTCTTACTCGCAGCTTTGTTTATTTCATAGTTATATGATCTATTTAAATCGGGACCTAATTGTGACTCATTCCGTATAATCCAATCGCTTCCTTGTATTTTCGACTTTCATTGTCTGCAAGTGTTAATGTCAGTACGAGGCGGGGAATCCTTCACCAACGTCGTCTCCAGGTGAAAGCTTGTAACGCCGTTCTTATGCGGCATCTTCTTCGGCAGGAATGTATGGCGGGTGGTACGATCGTCGAGCTGCAGGCGTGAGCTTGCACTGTATGTGTGGGCGGAGACAGCGCGGATATCGATGGACCGTGACTGCCCCCCGCTGGGCCAAGGTCGGCCATTTTCTCCTCCTGAATTATTCCTTGAGCCCTGTTTACGAAATATTGATTTGAAGTGACTTCGTCCATGGCCCAGAGACCTTCAGTCGACAGTTTATTCGGCCTAGAAATTCTTTCCCCCCACTTAGAAGCTTGAAATTCATCACCGTTTTCGTAACATTCTGCCGCTGACTCTGTCGTGGCCTAGTTGAATCCAATGCAGTTCGTAATAACCCTTTTAAACATACTTTTTAATAATATACCTCCCTTCTACGCCTAGGTCGTCCAGGTGTGCTGTTATTGTCAGGCATTTTGAGAAATTTTTCCTCCATTATTCTCGCATACCTTGCGTGCTACGTGCCCATACATCTCATCCTCATTAATTTGATCACCATAATAATATTTGGCGAAGAATACAGATTATGAGGTTCGCCATTACTCAGTTCTCTTGAGCGTCACTACTCCTATTCAGACTGCATGGCGCAACGTCCCAGAAGAAAGTAATCTTAGACGTATATCTTGTATGTAAATTTGGTATTACATCTTCCCTACATTAACTTGAAACTTGATATCAGTAAAAACTCACAGTCAGGTGTAAAATTCGTGAACTCCGAAGGTACTGCTTCTAAAATTCAGTAAATATACAAAAAAACCTATTCTGAATGTTAGAATAATTGTTGCAAGTGTATTTTGAGGACAGATGAACGCGAATTTATTTTCTTATAAACACGAAAGCTTAGATCTCTTTCTAATCGATACTAGTTCGTGTCACGTGTCTTGTAAGTTCTAGACAGCGCCTCTGGAGCTGCGTGCGATTTATTCCCTTGATGCTCTCACGCCCCGTCTGATTTGTCTCTTTTTCGTTTCATTCAGCTCTCCAGTTAAGTGTTGAATGACGTCATATCTCTCCTGCGGCCTATAAATTACTTTGGTTAAGTTCCTTTAAGCGTCACTTAGTCACCAAAATGCTGAAAGTCGATACTAATGCATCGTATCGCTAAAAATTGGAACATATAACGAGCAAAATTTCGAGTGGCTTATAGCGACGAACAGAGCTCCACAGTTGCATTAGGTGGCAATTCCCAACTGAATTTGATGGCCTCGATCACCATATCATCGCGATGAAACTCCGTGGAGTGGGGGCAGATCTCGAGGAGTGGTTTTTGGCTCAGCAGGTCAATAAATTTGCCGCCTTTTTCGGAATCAAGGTCTTGTGTTCAGAAGAGATGTCTGGCTCAGGCCAGTTCAATCCAGTCAACGCCCTATTATATGTAAGACACACTTTATAATTATCTTTCCATGGGTTTCCTGAATGGTCTTTTCCAGTAACTCTGGCCGACTAAAGTACATATACATGTTTGTCCCCATGCGTGCCATGTGCCCTGCCAATCCAATCCTCCTTGATTTATATCACGCTAATAATGTTTGGTGAAGAATACCCCAACTCCGGTACAAACTATGTCTTTTACGGTTCTTTGAACACACACACAGTTAATTCTTGTGGCTCTTCTAATTAAACGTTCAGAGCTTCGCAATAAAATCTTTGTACAAACAATGGCTCAGTGAATCCAGGGCCTATATAACAAGCCAAACTGTTTCAGGTAATGTCAAATTTTATTACTTGTTTATATGTAGGTCACACCTGATTTATTTCGACAGAATTTTACCTACACACAGGGGCAAAGGGACAACTACGTAACTTTTTAAATATTTCTTGGTCCTTGGTTCCCCCTTAGCGTATTAGGAAACAAAAGAAGGTTAAATGATTTATAGCAGAATTTGTCGTGTGATTTCAGTGTAAACAGCGATTATTTCCTTAAACAGCGTCAACCAGTTGATCTTCGTAATGGTGAAGTGTCATGTTTTCTTCGCAGTACGGACTGAATTATTAAATGCAATTTAGACGGGCTTAGGGATAGAAATTCCGCCTTACGTAATTCATTTGTTGAAAACTTAAACATAAAAATACCAGTTATGTGTAGAATTGCTGCACGGGTTTTAAAATGCAAAAGAATAAGAAGAGACAATTCAAATTATATTGTAAAAAGTGTGGATTCTTCTTACTTTGCTTTACTAAATATAACTAGCTAATAAATATGATGATCCTGTCGCATAGCAACTGGAATAATTCCGTGTCTCCCCACATAGTCATTAGCCTTGGCTGGGATATAAACGTTTAGGCTGGTAGAATTTTATACTATTTTTCATATTTTCTGCTCTGTGCATTTGTCAGGGAATATTTACTATGTCGAAGATAAGGAACGCATTTTAGGGGGATTGAATGGATGAGCAAAACGTTCTCGTATCTTCCGTTATGTAAATTTAAAATATTTTGACGCTTTACTGTGGAAACCGGAGTAATATTTATTCGATATTTCATCCTGTCAAACAGAATGACGCGTTGAATTTACTGCAAGTCGGTATAACAGGATGGTTGGAAATATTACGTCGATATAACTCCATTTAATGCGATATGCAAGCATCTTACCTTTAACAGTTCATCGATATAACTCCATTTAATGTGATATGCAAGCATCTTACCTTTAACAGTTAAGGAACTAAATGCCTGTACCGACCCCAAAATATTATTTTTTCTCTCTTACACTTACTCCTTATCCTGTAGGTTTGTAATTCCACCTGACAGCATATTTTTAACTCCGTAGAGCACAGTTCATAGCTGGCAAAGAAATTCGCTTTTCTGGAACGTTTTATGAACCCCGTAGGCATTTATCCAGACACAAAGCTTCTAATTCCCTACAGTCGGTAATACCAATGTGACACTTTCCTTAAGTCTTATTGGATGATGATGCTAAACCCATGATTCTTTGCGCATGCGCAACACTAACGTAACTGATATCCGACTTCTCGCATTTAATAACTAGGGACTAGCTAGACGGAGATTCATGAAATTTTGTATGGACATTATGCCACAGGTCACTAATTTAAACACATACCTTCTAAGTTGCTGCACTCAGTAATACCAACGCGACAGTTGCCTAAAATCGCGATGTGTAACGATGACGCAATTGCGCATAATTGTCTGCGCATGCGCAAGACAAACATAACTGGTATTCTATTTCGCACGAGTGCCAGCAGGACTCGCATTATTAAAGGTAGGGGTCACATTTATGCCAGCAAGGTTCGTATTGATGCCGTCAGGAAATACATTTTTATGTCCCCCTCTTTAAAGTGTTGGTACTGTATCTTGTGCCATCTGGTAGCAGTGGCTTACAGCCGCGCCGCGACGCCTGGATGTCGCCTTTCCCTGTTGTCGCCAACGCCAGGAATAGGAGATCGATAGTTGGGGAGGGAGAGAGAGAGAGAGAGACAGAAATTGTCTAACACAGAGAGAAAGACGAGGAAATGAAACTCACGCATTGGAAATCGGTAGCACAAGTTTGTGTTGAATGTAATGAAACTAGATATGTAAATACGATGTAACGAGGGAACTGGCATTGAAATCGCTTGTCTTTTGTCATGGTTCCGAAATATTAGATAACAGTTGGCTGCATGTCAGTTTGTACTGCTATGGACTTGTCACGTGCACGGTTTGAATGATTCATCAATTAACCAAAATGGTGCTGAAATATTTTCTTTTCACTTGATAAACTATAGTTTATTTGAGAATGGAGTTCTGAGGGTAATATTTTGACCTGAGATTTTAGATTGGGGGGGGGGGGGCTGCATAATGAGGAGCTTCGTAGGTCGTACTCTTAACCAAATACTACAATTGTCAGAATCCGGTACGTATTGGAAAGGAGGTAGGTCGAACTCAGAGCCTGAACTGAACGCGGTGCAAGGAGGGGAATTCATAAACATTATTTAGTCTAACTTCGGCTTCAGAGAGCAGACACGGATAACCAAATCTGTCCTGGCCTGTATAAACCTCACCAATATTTACGAAATTTGAACAAATTTTCATTTTCTTTTCCAATTTATTCAGAATGTTAGAACATTTTCAGAAACTCCATTTCTTAAAATACAGATAAGAAGAAATTTATGAAAGTGACATTTTCAAAATTATTGGTCCCAGAACTCTGCTGATTTTACTCTCTCTCTATGCATTGCAAATCTCATTATATTTTTACAATGATTGTTTTTGTTCCTTTCCTGATTCTGAAGAGCTGAGAAGTGGGTTTGCATTGCCTGAAGCGTCACTGTCAAGTTTCTAGGAGACAAATTGGTTTAGGAAGCTGTCATCTTCATTTTGACGTGTAAAATGACATCTGTCACTCTGTAAGAGAGTGCAGTCATGTGTAATAAAACTAATGGCCGTAAAATCATTCATGAGTCCTTGTCATCTAAAAGGAACCCGTTCCTTCAGTCACCTTAAAATTTTCCACACGATAAAGGCTGATTTGCCTGTACATTGGTGTCCCTTTTAGTATACAAACATGTTTCTGCAGGAGTAGGCGACAAAATGTAGTTCACAATACTTCCATGTGATATCTGAAAATATAAATATTAAAATATATGGAAACTGCAACTTTACTAATTTTTTACGTGGGTATTTTACTTGGTCTTAAGGATGTTTGAGAACAGAGTACTGAGGACCCATACAACGTGTGGACAGGAATATTTAATGAAATGTACACAATCCCCAGCATGGCAAAGTGTGATTTGTAATCAGTCTTATGCTACAACTAAAACATTTTAATTAATACTTATTACAGGATGAGTCAAAAATTCCTGCACACTCAAATGACTTGTGTGTGCACTACTCAGTGTGTGCAAGCGCACAGGAACTTCGAATTATCCTGTGCTGTTACTATCACCGTAGCTTTTTCCATATTATTTTGAAGTCACTGTATACATTCAGTCCCTTATTTACTTGAATGAAGCCACAAGCTTATTTATTCACACTCTTTTTCATGGGAAAGTCTTGGAAATTGCACAAAACTTATTTTTGTGTCTGTCACAGATGCAAAATTGAATTCTGTACATCTCCTAAAAATTTCCTGGTGCCTGAGATGTAAACATGTAAATAATGTCAAAGGTTAGTGTGGAATACTACATTCATCTGTTTCAGAACCTCGCCCCACAGCACACCTCGTGGCAGCCGATGTAAGTGCACGACGAGCCGTGGAATGGCTTCTGAAACAAAGGTTAGAAGACTGGGGTTGGGGTAGCGACACCCCGAGAGCTGTCCTTGCTCTCCAACTTGCTAACATATCACCGTGGTTTGTACCCGACAACCTTGAGAGTCAGCTGTCAGGCAAGCAGATGGAACTGGAAATCCTGCTGCATCTTTGGCGGTATTTATCCGTGGATAATTTCCTTGACTTCTTCAGTGACCTGTCATGAATTTGATTCTAGTCACGTAATGCGAAAGGAAATGTTTTGGTTCAGACTCATGCTTTGTACTGGAGATGATTCCAGTTTAAATCTTGGCTGGAAGACCTGATCAATTTTCTTCTTCTTTTTATTTTCCCCAGTCAGTTGTGACAATACCACCTTAATATAGGTCACTGTAGTTTCCGCTCATGGCCTTCCAGATTTCCCAGTATGGAAGGTCCTGAGTCTAAATCTCAGCCAAGGAACAGATTATTGTGACTGAATCTCTTCATTGTTTTCTTCAGTCCCTCCAGAAAATTCTTGGTTAATACCTTAAATTAGGCGACATATAAACTGAGCTATTGATAGTGTTATTAAATAAAGCATTAATTAATAAATAAATAAATAAATAAAAATGTGCCAGTTACGTTGTTCTTTCAGCCACCTCCTCAGACTGTCACTGCTGTTGTCAGGTTTTGTAATGTGTTCAATGTGATTCTGATGCACCTTTGTTTGTTTCAGGCATCACGACTCAGCGATGACTCCAGGTCGACTGGCACAGTACACTCTTGCACTGAACGCGATGTGTCGAGATCCAAGGCAGTTTCATGGCCATGACCTCATCGGTGAGTTACAAGAATGCTTATACCATAACCTAACTTAAGAAAGACTACAATTATGGCAGGACATGTAGCCAGCGTTATGTTTTCAGAAGCGTCTCTTTCACATCTGTTTTTTTCTTGTAGATGGTGTGAGTAATGTAGTTGTGGTAGATAGATGTAAATATTTGTCTGTCAGATTACTGCACCATGAATAAATTATACAGCAGTTGTTATGAACTTTGTTTCCTGAAGTATATTTAATATACTTGACATTTAAGAGGTGGGCGCTTGCCTATGATTTGTTCTACAGAGCAAATCATGTCATAATGGATCGGGAATAATATCGAGATCTCAATTTGAATATTTTTCTTCTAGGATCACTTCAACATCATGAGCCAGAACTGGATTTTGAATTTGCATTCTCATCTTTAGCTGTTTGCAGCTCGGGTGCACACGTCAGGAAACGACAAATAAAACGTCTTATGGACATCGCCGATAGAGCAAGCGATCACAATGTTGGTAAGCAGACAGTTTTGACCCTGGCACATTTTCCAATCAAGTTCTTCAAAGCATTTTATCTTTCTCTTCGAGTGTAGTGAGACGTACGCCAAGCCATTCTGTATTTCACCCAGGACAATTATTAATTTCTATAGCATTGTAAGTCCAATGTAATTATTTGTAGACATGATTCAGTATTTTCATAAATTACCCTAGTACGAACTTGACGCTGTTAATAGTATTAATAAAGCTACAATTCACACTAACTAAAACTCCACTGTGTAGAGTCCTTGAGAACCCAGTAGAATGCTCAGGTTCCCCAGATTTATGGAAGTCAAAGGTTCATTACCAGCTACTGAACCCTGTCCATATTCCAGTTTCTTAAAGTTACATTTTAATACTGTCTTCCCATCTACCCCTTGGTCATCCAAGCTGTCTCTTCCCTTCAGGATTTACTACCAAAATTTTGTACACATTTCTCTTCTCTCTCATGTGCACTTTATGCCTTGTCCACATCATCATCCTTAATTTGATTATCCTAATATTTAGTGAAGATAATAAATTCTTGTCACTATGCTGCTTCCTACCTCATCCTGTAACTTCATCCCTATTTAAGGTCCAGATATTCCCTTCAGTACCCACTTATCAAATGCCCTGAACCTGTGTTCTTCCCTTAATGTAATATACCAGGTTTCACACCCATACAAAAAGAAATTATGGTTTTGTATATTTTAATATTTGTTTTTAGATAGCAGCTGGGAAGACAATTATGAATTGCATGGTATCAAGCACTCCCTGAAATTAATTTTATCCTAATATGTTCATGAACGTAATTCTGATTTCTTTCTAAATGTACGCAAGGCAAGTCCAGTCCTTTATAACTTACTTCAGGGCACCGGACTGCTAACCCCTCTTCATCTTATACATAAGCAATCCAGGGTGCGTGATAGCATCAGTTCCATGAACGCGTGTTTCTGTTTGTGATATGCAGATACGCTTTCCATGGTATTGCTGGCACTCAGCTGTATCACGCGCGATCACCGGAACCGGAATCTGGATCATTACGTGAAGAAGCCAAGTTCTGGGCTGGCTGAGGAGCAGCGTGTGGATGGCAGTTTTGGTAATCTGCACAGCACGGCACTGGCGGTACAGGTGTGTGTGTGTGTGATATTGATTGTGCGGCGGTTACTTTGAATCCGCATAGCACAGCAATTTCAGTTTTTGCAAAACACTTTACTTTTCATAATTCTCTTTGACTGAACCTATATTCAGACCTTAATATTTCCATTGAACTTCTTTGCAGGCTTTGGAGATCGCGGATGCCGAGTTATCAAGCAATGGTGGTAACAGTGGCCCTGTTAATTGGAATCGCAGCAGTGCTATAAACTACATGATTTCGCATCAGGCACCTGATGGTTCGTTTGGTGACGTGTTCAGTACTACTGAAGTCGTACTTGGCTTAGGCTCACATCATCTGAACTCCATCAGGGATCTCAACTGTACTGGCAGCAATACAGGTGCTGCTTTCGCTGCTAGTGGTTAGTACAAGAAAATTATGGCCTTCTAGTAGAGAGTAGAGTTGTCCCCGATAACACGCCATGGAGGTGCTTGAGGAGAGAGCTCCTACTTATTATTGACCTTGATGCTAGATGGGGGTGTATGGTCAGTGTTGCACCCGAGCTGATATTTACCCTCGGAGATAATTCTGCGACTATTGCCTCGGGTATGGTAAAACCTATACGGTTACCCCTCTGTTACCATCTTCACACCTCCATGAGAAACCCACATTTCAGAATTTGACTTATTTTGTCCTGTTTGTTTCAAATATTTATCGGTACCTTTTCGCATTTCAGTTCCCAGACTTCGCCCACCTACGGCAACAATGCTGTCCCCTACCGCCGTGGCCAACGCAGACTTGAATTTGACAGTGGAAGGCACAACGCCTCGAGAAAATCCAAAAGGAGAGGAATTTGTGACTGTGACATACACATTATGGGTCGGAACAAATGTGACAGAGAACTTCACCATCACCGTGATGGCCGAGAAAAATTCAAGTTTCTATCGTGTAATGCAGATCGCTGCAGAGCAGGATGCTCATTACCTGTGAGTGTTTGAGCCCTTTGCTGGTTTAATCCCTTCACTGCCGACCCTAATGGGCATTGAAATCTGCCACTGTGACAACCTTGGACATCATAAAAATATCACTAATATTAAAGTAAGAGAAATTAATGGTTTAAAAAATATCAAGGGATGTACCGGTTAGGTACAATTAAAATGATGATATAGGCATATGTGAAATAAATAACATATGTTTGTTAAGTTATAAAAGACAAGAATAAAAAGAATAATGATTAATTCACCTTAACAGAATATGTAAAGATTCCCAGAACTTCGTGTACATGACAAACCAAAAGGAGATATATAAACTTTTACGATCATTTAAGAGATGTCGGAATACGACTGAGCCCAACCTATAGGGTAGATGGTGATAGTGGTGATGGTAATCGTAACAGGCAAACATGTACGTTTTGTAATTATTTTATTTCTATACTGAAATAATTCAAATTTGAAGTTGAGCATCTTCTGGAATGTTTGCCATGTACTCAGGTAGATACTAATATTTCAGAGGTGCTTACTGCCTTTATCATCAGGGTGATGATAGGGACTCATCTCCCTGGTGATGCAGACGGCAAGCACCTCTGAAACGTCGGTCAGAATCTACTGTGCTACAACCCAGAAGACAGTCTGGTAAATTACAATGTACTTACAGATTTGAGGCAACTGAGTGGCCCAACGGACATTACGTGCACACCATAGCAGGCTATAAGGAGGAGCCGTCATGTTACCATTACTGGCTGCTGTACCAGGTACCAACCCTGCCTGAACCTGCCAGCCCCCCAGGAAACAATCTCGTGACGCCTGTCGGTGAGTCAGCATTGCCGTGCCATTTATCGAGAAAGATATGGACTAGTTAGTCTGTTCATAACTAGTGGTTGTTTTTGATTGATTTATTCTTTGTTTTATTTAATGACACACTTTTTAGTTAACTTCTTATGTAGCGCCAAATGTAGGTTCATTTGCGAATAACAAATCAGAATGGATTTGGAAGGAATTGGTTGTGGCCTGATTTAAATACTGCACCAGCAGTTGTTTGGAGTTACTGAAGAAAACCACGAAACTGTTGTCAAGGTAGCTGGTCTTGAAAACAAGATCTCCCGAGTATGAAGTAGAAATGCTAACCACTTGCCTATAATGTTCAGTTCTTACTTGTGTAGACGTGAATGAGAAATGTGATTATGTATGGAGAATTGTAATTTTCTTAAAAATGACTTTCTCTTCAAAAAATAGGTGTGTCTTTTCTCAGATTTGACAAAAGTAGGAAAGAGCATAATTTATTTTTGGTAAGACAGACTTTGAAAATATTGAAAATAACATCCTCATTCTATCTTTTTTAGAAAATTATACAGTAACACCAATTTAACAAATATTTAATGCACCTTTAGACAAATTTTTATTTTTTGTTTCAATGTAATAAATGCAATTGCAAGATGTCCAATCACGTCGTGCCAGAGAAAAAAAAACAACCTTAAATTACTTAACCTTGTGGCAGCAGAATCCAGAGTTTAACATTGATGATATGAAAGAGCGTCACTGTACAAGATCCTTGCAACTTGATGGTACATTTCCTTAAGATCCATTTTAATAGTATCCTCAAACCTATTTGTTTTCTTCCAAGTTGTTATTTTCCAATAGGTTTTCCAGCCAATATTCTGTGCACCTTTCTTGTCTCCCACTCTGTCTAGCTGCACATTCTGCCCATCATGAACTTCATTTGACCACTCTAAGAGTTCAAGGTGAGTCGCGCGTGCGATGAAGTTCCGTGTTTTGTAACATCTTACATTGTCTACTTCCTAATCAACATTTTGTAACAGTTCCCTTTATTCTTTCCGTAGGAGTTGATGGCTTAGTTGTTGAAGATGGCGATCACTACCTTTTCTGGTACAAGAAGCTCTGAGTGCCACAAGATGCGATGTACACGACTGTACAATGACCATTTTCCTTTTCAGACCAATACGTATTCCGGCGTAACTTACTGAGATAAAATTGTAAGTGTGACCTATAAACGCTGAACAACCTGCGACATATTAAACAGAAGGTGTACAGTTCTAACTTAACACATAATCCTTTAAAACTGACTGAGAATTTGTATTCAGCTTTATTCTGCTTCTTGTAATTCATGAACCAATTCCATTTCCATCTGGGTTGAAGATGTTCACATTTCTCTATGACTTTTTTAATATTATACTTTTTATTACTACTCGTCCTTAACAGCACTTCTTGTTTTTGAATTACTGAAGAATTACAGAGTAATTAAATTACAGTAATTATTGGTAAATCAAGTTTGTTTGCAAAGATGGCTGCCAGGTGTAGTCTGATACAAGTTTACTGATGTTTTAGAAGTACTTGCTGCCTCCATCATCAGGGCAATCTGATACTGGAGGCAGCAAGTTTATCTTCAACCTTGGTGGACTTCTACCAGACTTCACCTGGCAACAACGCAGAAGGCAGCCATCTTCATGCTTTTTGCCATGAGAACCTGAAATTTCACCATTTTTTTGACACATACAAAGCAAACATGAATTTTCAGTCTCATATTTCTATAGAAGTGGTTCTTTGATATGGATTTGTGATTTCACATATTTTTTAATCTACCATTATTTATTTATTGATGAAAAATGCTTACTTTCATATCAAAAGGAAAAAAATGGTTTATTTCCAATAAATATATGTAAATTAGATTTAATAATCTAATTAGTATAATTTTCTTTAAACGTTCTTGTTATACAAACATAATTGCTTACAAGTTCTTAGTGACCTTGAGCCATCATGCTGAAGAAATATGTAAACTCAGAAAACAAAACTTTTGTCCGAAAGTTATAAGGCTTTATTTATTTTTCCGAAAGATGAAATATTGCAGTAACAGGATCTTTAAAACTTTGTACACTCAAATGACTGTGAACTTTCCGATATGTGTTTAACTACTACGACAAACGGTATTGAACTTCAAACGTAGTTGCCAAATCTGTGTCATAAGTGGGAAATTGTGTTTATGGATGTCCCTGCGTTCCGTCTGAAGCAAAGAAAGCTTGTGCAACTGAAAGTTCGATCATGTAAGCCATTCATGCATGTAATGAAGAAATGCTTTGATATCCAGTATAATTTTTTTGTTTTTTCTTGTATTTTTCACATGTTCAGCTTCCGAAAAGCAATTAATAGCAAGTGGGTCCAAGTACTAACCACAAATTCCCTTAAAATTCATTAATTGATCTCATAATAATTACTACAGTAATTCAAAAGGGCATGAGACATATTAAATAATTGAGACATGTAAATAGTGCGTTTAGTGATCACGTATTCCTCGCTTCAAACTACAGAATACTGATAACGCAGACTTATATGATAGTTACATTCCCAGGAGCAATTGTGCTAGTCGGAGGTGCGTTACTCAAAATTCACAAGGTAGAATTCTGATGAGCAGAGATGGAGTGCCCATGTTTTTTGGATTATCTACTATTATATTATTAATTACATATCTTCTCTCCTCCGTTAGCCTGTATATTCAGAAGCTTACTGTAAATGTAATTATCAAAATCTGAAATTGTTTTCTTTACTATAAACAACTATTAAGAGATTCAGTATCTGCCACGGCTGTCATATATTTTCTTTTTACTGACTTACGGATTGATTACTGGGGATTTCTATCACTTGTTATAAACTGAATATTAACGACAAATAAGTCCTTTGTCAGAACTGCTTAAGATTATTTTAACTGTTTATTGATAATGAGAAATTTAGCATAAATATTTCCAACTATGAAATGACTGGTCACCATCTTCATTAGATTTGGCCTGTTCGGTGTGTAAATGAACATGGATAACATCCTTTTTGTAGGAATCTGGGGCACTGCGGACACATCCAATGGGAGGAGAGAATCTAATGCTTGTCATAAACTCCACCATTATATTGATTACGTATTCATATCTGCATATTAAAAGTATAAGAAAGAGCAGATTAAACACAATTCTGCAAAGGAATATATATATCAATGTATGCATGTACTGACAAAGCGAGAAGAATGAATGCAAATTTATTTTACGAGTCCCTCATCTAGCCATTCAGTTTAGCAGCTGAATTTAAGATTTGATTTGTGCCTTAGAAATTTCATATGGAGTGCCAGAGGCCTGCAAATATAAAATTTGTGCCGCTCTGAGGATAATATATTCAGTTATATTTACTTGGAGGATGGGAAAAATGTTTTTCATTAAGGTTTAGTCAGATAAAAAGTTACAGTTTGAACTTTACTCTGACCCATTGCTTCATTCACTTCTGTTGGGGGGCAGAATTGAGCTACGTAATAATGTCTGGCTCAAATATTTTTAGCATTCATATCAGCATTGAAATTATTACAAATATCTGCATTTCTAAATTGTCAAAAGAGATGTTTGGCACAATATGCTTGGAGTCTTATGTTGCAGATGTGAATTTAAATGTGATCTACATGAGAAGGTGAGGTTTGGTGCCTTCATTTAGATTAGCTTTCGTTGTTAATGCAAACTGTTACGTCTAGTCACTTCATTTGTAGTGAGAATAATTACGAATATATATATACAATTTATTTTACTGGTACATAAAAACACAATTTTAATTGTTCAAAGTATCAAATATATTAGTATTCTAAACTTATTTAAATTAAGTATTAAAAGAGAACAATAAAAATAACTCTTGAAGAGTGAATTGGTATGTATGGGTTTAGTACAGGTATTTTCACATTATATAAATTTAGAGCAGAATATTAGAGAAAGTATGTATGAAAAAAATATTTTAAGCATTTAAAGCTGCAGTTTTGAAGCAAATATTTATTGCTATTTTAGGTTCTAAACATTATTTGTATATGCATGCTGTGAAATATACATGTTGGTGCAAAGCAAAAAAGTGAATGGAGAAAGTTTTTGAAAAATTAATGGCTGTATAGATTTTAATGGAACTTGTAAAAATTGCACAGAACGTACCTAAGTATGTATACAGAAGATTTATTCAATTTGGTTTATTCACTGCACAGAAAAATATTTTTCATCTTTAAGGTTATAAAGTACGTATGGAATCACATTTTTTTTAACAGAATCTGTGTCAGTTGATGCTGCAGATAATGAAGACAGAAGCCACTGGTTTCCGCTAGTCCGTTGTCTAATGCTGTTGCAGCCTTTCGTACTCTTCATATTTGATATAAAAATTTTTCTTGTGCCATTCGGTATAAGCGGCTTCAATCATTGAACATATAATAAACATTTATGTCCTGAATTAAGCACTTTACAAATTTTATTCCTTATAATCTTGTATTACTGATGAAAACTGCAAGTCGGAATCACTGGGTTTGAGACTCTTATTCCAAATATTTAAATATTTTGCATGCATTTTGCTTCAGTATGTAATAATTTAATTTTAACATACCACAAGTCTGAGTTCTTGACATGTATCCAAATATGGTGCATAATATATATAAATTAGTGTCATCATGAAAGTGAACATGTGATGATGTTACATTCTATTTCTCTGCGCGCATATTATGTTAAAAATGGATGAGTGCGCTTTTGGCTAAATGTCACGCAGCTATTCATGAAATATCAGTATCACATTGTCATGAAGATAATCAGAGTTATGTTGTGTGGTATGAAATTGGATATTGAAACTCATTCTATGAAAATAAGAAGTGTGATTTTAATTTCTTTTCTCCTGCAGTCTTGATCGACACGCGCTATCAAACTGGCGATAACCAAAGAATACATTTTTTATATAATTGCTTTTGTTTACTTACCTGGTCGTTTTACTACAAATAGTTGCAGAACATTGTCATATTCATAAATATATATCTCATGTTTCCACCGTAACACACCATCAGGGTCATATTAACAAAAAAGTAAATCTTCTAGAACTGCGACAGTGTTTATTCCTCTGCCTGGTGTGAACTGTCTTATGTTGACAATAAGTAGATCATATGTTTCAAGTTTTAATGTGAATCAGTGTTGCTAATGTTGTGACTATTATTATCATCATTAAATTACACATTTTGATGCTTTACCTATGTCCATAATCAACTAATCCAAAAGTCAAAACTGCGCTATACATGGAACGGAGCTCACGAGGAGGAACTGTTATTGATTTATTATCGCAACAGACGACCCTGCACATAAGAACGTTCATGATTTGTGCATCTCTCCTAGTTCTGCTGGGATTATCAAATCAAGAAAGTTTTTATGAGAGGCTCATACAGCTCAGATGGAGAAGGTAAAATTGCATATAGAAGTATGGTAGGGAAACCTCTTGAAAATTAGAATAGCCACTTGGAAAACTAAGGAGCTGATAGGATTAGAGCGTGGGGAAAAGTTTTATGAGCCCGTGAACTGCTTCAGAATCGTATTAACTGGGAGGCTTTGGTGTTGAAGTTTTGGGTCCTGTTCCCATAAAGTGCAAAACTGACGGTGAAGTTTTAGGCTTTAGTATTCAGACATAGAAAATGGTTTCATCTGCTTGGTGACCAGATGGACCAAGTAGCATTTATTAATAGGATGAATAATAAAGTGGAAAGGATATGAAAGGAACCAGCCATGATCTAATTTAAGACACTATTCCAGGATTTGCTTGGAGTATCTGAGAAAATTGCGGGAAACTTAGAATAGCCAGTCTCCGGGCCAAGATTTAAACAAGGAACTTCTGGAATATGAACGGGAAGTGCCAAGTACTCGACTGTGAGACTGGGTACAACAATATGACACGAAAAGAAAAATGTGACAAAATTACAATAAGGTATCTTCATTTTAATTCAGTTTTGTTTTTTGTACAGTTTCTGCATAAAATATATAACTGTTTTATACTGACTTGTTTTACAGTTCATGAAAACTAATTTCTCACGTGACGATGCGCTTCGTAACAAGCAGAGAAATGTTCTGCAGTGAAGTGTGAATATTTTTCACATGCATTCTCACCTAATTCATGCTTTTCTTTACCTTGATATTAATTTATTTCAGATACAAATTTGTTGCTGCAGATTGAGTCACACCAAAAAATATTCATCACAGTGAGAAGTGTCTGAAACTTACATTGTAGATACAAAAACATGAACACTTTGCGTGGTAACCCATCTGGAGAAAATCCGTATTGATTTGTGTTTCATGTAAAGATGTGGTTATACCGCACTGACAAGAAACTAGATTGCCAAGATGGCTGCCTTCTGGGTCGTAGCACCGTGTAGTCCAGTTGAAGTTTACTGATGATGGAGGAGCAAGCACTACTGGAACATCAGTAAACTTCAATTAGACTACATGGCGCTACTACCCAGAAGGCGGCCACCTTCATGTTCCCGGCCATGGGAATCTCAAACCTGAACAATAATTATTTTTATCAATGTTTATTACAAATATTAAATTTAATCAAAATCCATTCACTAGCTTGAGAGATTAATCCTGCACACAGCCAGACTGACACAACTTCCACTGTGCATTTTGTGGAAAGGACATATTGAGGAATCACAGCTGAGATTCTAAATATTTCTTCCATGCAGATAAATGCCAATGAAATCGGGGAATTACGGATGAGGCAAACCTGACGTATACAATCATGAAACGTATGGCTGTACGTTAACCATATTTGAAGAATGTAAGGGCAAAGTCCCCAAGGTATGTAATGCCACTGAAAAAGGCTAAGATCCCAGATCCAATCAGGTACCCCGTCGAGTGTTTGGCGTTGTACCACGTCTCTATTAATATTCCACCCGTTGAAAAGAACAGAAAGGCAGCAGGCAGCGTTACCAACAGAATCTAAACACAAAGAGCTGGATTATGTTACATCAATCTTGCGAGCTCCACATAACTGCGTACATTTACATATATGACTGCTCGTGGCTACATGTCTTCCATTATGTAGAAATGACAGTAAAATTATGGTTCATAACAAACATTCAAAGTCAGTAAAATGATTGGAGATGGGTTGGAGGTTCAGTTCCCAGTTGGGATAATTGGGTCTTTCTTTTCATCACATGTTCAAGATGCTCTTGCGAGGAAAGTCTCATATCTATTGGATACAACGGTCCCTTTTCTGTGGGAGCAATTGCAAACTGACCTCTCACCTCCTCACAGTCGCAAGTCAAAGAAACTTTGAAAATGCGTTAAAACTGACCGTATATGGCTCCTTTAAGAAAAAGAAGTCTACTCTTGGATTTATCTTAAGACCGCATACATCATCAGGGGTTTAACCATTACGTACCAGTATTCGGTGCAAGGGACTATCTATTACAATCGCAACCATTATGATGATGGAGATCATCAGGAATCCTATGAGCGTTCCAAACACCACGGCCCATTTTGACTTTGCTGTGATCAGATAACTCGTATCCCACATAAACAGGACTATGGATAGACAGTTCAGTACCTGTGTGAAATATTACATATTATTTTAGTGGGTCTATAAGCTAAAAAGAAAATGTTTTGTGGTTAGTAAGAATATTGAATGAATCTCCATATTTGTGCTTTGAGGCTGTTGGTTCTTCTTTTAAGACACTCTTAACCACTATTAAATTTGTATTTATTTTCCATTCAAATTTCAACACAAAATGTTCTCGTACGCGTTTTGGCAAACCACGCTTTCATCAGCGCTTTGCCATGCTCATTGCAAAGACAATCACAATCATAACGAACACCAAACATGCATACAATTTTATTGTTCTTCTCGACTAAATCAATAATTCAACTCGGTTTAGACGAACGCACCGCCATTAGAACCTTTTAGAGTTACATCAAATATGTAATTTTTATGTAAATATCTTTAATGTGTAATAATTACATAAGATATTTTGAACTGATGCTCATATATTTCTGTTTTAAATGGATTAACTTTGATGTTCATTATGGTTGAGACTGTGTTCTTAATGACGACAAGATTCTTTCTTGTTCAGAATATTGATGCATATGTAATTGTATCACGGCGGTGAGTCTGAAGATGGCTGTCTTCTGGGTCGTTGCGCCGTGAAACCTGATAGAAGTTTACAGACGTTTAAGAGGTCCTCGCTGCCTCCAACACCCTGATGATGGAAGCAGCAAGGACCTCTGAAACACTGCCAAACTTCTATCATGCTACATGGCGCAACAACCCGGAAGACAACCATCTTCATGATACAAAGTTTGCATAATAAGAAAACAGAATCCGCAGAATCGTGATACCGTAACAAGATGTAAGTCTGTATAATTTTGTCTACTTACCAGTTCCAGTATTTTTGCCAGGAATGTTGGTGACCTGCAGAGTTCTCTTATATTAACCATTTTGGAAAATTACGTCATCAACAATTATCTCCTGTATGAACAAAAATCAAAAATGTTTCATAATTATTGTTCTCTTGTTGAATGCACAATTCGTTTTGGAATTAGCTTTGTATCTGCTGTTTTAATATGGATTACTGTCTACTAATACCTGCTATTACAGAACTTTATTATGACTTTCAACACAGCGTACACGAGATAAATATTTTAATACTGATAAGCCAACATCTGCAAGTATACAACTTTAGAAAGCCATAAAAGCCCCACATGTTTAATTAGGGTTCTGTACCTGCAATCTTACGTTGCCCTCACTTAAAATTTTTAAACTTAGGTCCATACAAGATACACGCCTTGGGCATTTAAAATAGAATATATTTATGAATACAAACAGCATCAATTAAATTTCTATGATCCACAGCACGATACAGATTGACATATTAGTATAAGCAGAATGGGAGTATTATAGGTACGAAAAAGACTATATTTGGCCTTAAAAAGAGAAAAACAGAACATGAAAGAGAATTTAGAGCGAAAATTAGCAACAGAATAAATCAAGCTGTACGTAGTTTGAGTCCACCAAGAACAAGGTTAATAGAACAAACTCCTTGGTACCCGTAACAGGCTAGTGGGCCGGTATAATCCGCGTAGTAGATGATGATGTTAAGCCTAGAAGCGCGTTAGACCGCCTTGTTAGCCTGCCATATATGGATGGGTAGTAGTCGAGAAAATAACGCGTTCTTAACATAACCCTTTCTTGTTGGGGAGCGATGATTTCGCACCTATATTAATAAAATTACTTTTTAGACTCACGAAGTAATGGAACAATCCAACACGGAAATCCATTTACTCTGGAAATCACTGGTCGATATATAACACATTAAAAAGTGTTTTCCTGGAATTTCACTAGTAAGATTACTTTTAGAACATTTCAATTGCAAACACGATCAACCTTTTTGGAGCACGAAGCTCATCTAAATAATACTTAAAATTTCGTCCGTACCTCAAAGAAAACACAACGCATCTCCATGACAGTAACTGGTCAAGGCTATTTGGGAAATAACCTGAGAATCATACGAACCTATAAATTCAAAATGCAGTTATTTGTTGTCAACGTACGAAGGACAGGAAATTCCGAACAGCATGCCAGGATCCATCAGATGCGTGAAGGCCTTGAAAAATCTGTGTTGCCAGACCAGGAAACATCATCACACAATTGCACAAGGAAAAGGAAGCAGGCACAGCGACAACAGGGAAACAATTATTGTTCACACTCGTGTCTAAGAACTATAATAACGATGAACCGAACAAGAATCGCGGGTCCGAGTCTTGCACTAGGAACAAATATATCCAAGTCGTGTTTCGTCCACGTTATCACTGCAGTTTACATGAAAAGATTGGGTATGGTTGAAGACGACTGCAACAGGAAGATATTTTTCTGGTAATCTTACACTTAAATTTGTACAATGTTGTCCAAAACTTTTGTATATACTTCCTGGGTGTCAAAACACCTTTCCATTGTCACGAACAAACTTTTGTATTTTTATTACATTTAGCCAGAATAACTTTCTGCATACAGTTCAACTTAATTCAGCGCGGTTTGAAATCGCCGTCAAACATAGAGCGTTCGGTTAAAAGAGAGCGAAACTGAAGATGACGTAACTAAACAAAAGTAGTAATTCATGGACAGGAACGCATACTGCTGTCTTAAAAGATGTGTTTATTAACGAGACACAAGACCACAGAATTTCGTTTTCCGTTATAATTATGTTCAACACATGACTTACCTCTTCGGTTTAAATTTGTAAATGCTATAACCTCATGCTAGCTCGCCTCAGATGGTTATACCACAGACGAACACGCCCTTGAAACAGTTATCTGTTGATGCTACGACCGGTTTCCTTGTACTGGAATGATGCTTACAATGCCACCTATTGCATTTCATGTGTACTATGAGAAACTCTAAATATTCACACGATAAAAAAAAGCATCGGTCGTGCATATCCCATTTGTCTGCCTGTATGTCTCATGTTACATATTTCGGTTTTCGATTACATTATTTTCGTGAATCTGCACACAAAATTGCCAGTCCTTAGCCACGGTATTTTGCGCATATAACCTCTGCTTTACACCAAGTTTAAATCCGAATTTTCGCATTTCTCGAAAACCGTTCATGGAATAAAAATGAATACTTGTTATAGAATAGACGTTTTAAATAAATAACTTCTGTCCCAGGTTCAGATATGGTGGGACTACGTTTTTGAAAACGTTAGTATGGAAATTAATGTATTCCTCCACGCAAAACATTTGTCATTCATTACCGTTATCATCAATCGATTTAATGACACTATTTAGTCGATTATTTCAAGGGTTATAACCAGGAAGGACTACTCCTCGTTTTTGATCTCTTTGCATTCGGCCGCAGTGAACAAATCATCAAAAGGCTTGCAGTTTATAGCCAATATGGTTGGTGGTGATTTACAGTGGTGATCCTGTTCGTTGACGGAATGTGAATATGTGAATTGAGGTTATTTTAGTGATGAGCGTGACAGAGTTCAACGGTAAATAGAATATTTTTTGTTCAAATAACACCTGATCCTGGAAATGTGAGTACCGAGTATTTACAATGTTTTTTTAAATCACCTGCATTTTGTTATCTGGAGTCGTTTTTGAACTTGGTTATTTTGATTTGGCTGGAGGTATAGTGAAATGATTTGGCAGGCTGCCACTGAAAAAGAGATGATTGTCGAATAACTTAGAATATTATTATATCACATATCAAAATTAATATTAATTATCTTCAGTCTGTCACAAATTACTGATATACCTGACCTTGTAAAAGCTGAGTTTTGTAGTGGTTTACAGCAAACCTTTACCAGTTACATACATATTATTACATTGCTTGGATCCATACTTAGTCAGATGGCATTAGAATGTGAAATAAGTCATAAAAAATACAATATACATAAACAAGTTCAATTCAGATTATTTCAAAATTTTTACAGAATAAAGATTTCAGATAAAGTAATAAACTGTTTCAAATAAATTTAAATATAGAGCAAATAAATTTTATAACCCATTTATACTAAACAAAGGCGAGAAAAACTTTAAAAATATTATGGGTCATTTTCAAACATTATAAATTCATCAGCAGAGCAAAACAAGTGTGTATTTGAGTGCCTTTTTAATGTTGCTTTAAATTGTGACTTTTTATTCACATGACTCATAAGACTAGAAAGTACAACTTGAAAATTTTGATGCCAGCATTGAATGAAATTTTATAAGAGCATGAGAGATTGGCACCTGATATTTATTTCTTGTGTTAAGTGGAATCTGCCTGAAAATATTCTTGGTTATTCACAGTGAAGTTTATTAATGAGAATATGTATTTAAACTGAAGAGATAAGGTCTCTTATCTCTTAAACAGACTTCTATATGAATTTCTAGGTTTGACACCACCAAAAATTCTAACAATTTCCTTTTGCAAAGTAAATATATTTTTGCTGTTAGATGAATTAGCCCAAAAAATTATCCAGTACTTTATTATAGAGTGAAAGTAAGCAAAATTAGCTGATTTGCGAGTGTCAGTGTTGCTGGCATGGAAAATAGGTCTAACCTAACCTAACCTAAACTAACCCAAACTAACCTAACCTAACCGAAACTAACCTAACCTAACCTAACCTAAACTAACCGAAACTAACCTAAACTAACCTAACCTAAACCAACCCAAACTAACCTAACCTGACCTAACCTAATCTAATCTAACCTAACCTAACCTAACCTAACCTAACCTAACCTAACCTAACCTGACCTAACATGCTCCACTTAATTTCAGAACCATTTGATCAAAATGATTTTTCCACTTTATGTTGTTATCAATTTCTAAACCAGGAGATTTCTTATTTACTGACTGTTCTACATACTTTCCATTATAAATATTACTTAAGGCATATTGTGGTGAATTATTTGTTATAGATTTTAATACATTTGTTTTATCTGGATTTTGTTAGCAGTAAACCATTTACTCATACGAAAGGGAACTATGTACAGAAATCATCAACATTTTTACTAGCAATTATGACATTTGTGTCATCAGTCAGTATTATGGGTTTTGATAAGTTATGCTTTGTCGGAGGAATGTCATTTATGTATGTTATGAAAAGACTTCAGTTTGAGTCAGTGCGTCGTTTGTGAGGACACGCTCTGTAATTTCTGCACGCCTTGCAGCGAATTAATGCACCAATCTGTGTCCACTGGAGGAAGCAGTTTGAAGTCGTAAAAACGTAATCACATCAGCAAACTTACTAATTGCGTTCCAAATAAACAGGGAAGTCGTAATCCCTCCTGAGAGTTCGACATTGTTGTTTGGTTAACACAGAGCAAAGTTATTTGACATTCCACGTGATTAGGCTATTCTGACATTCGGTGAGATTAGTCTACGATTTATGGAGTAGTCCGTGTTTATGGAATGTGTGTCGATAAACTACTCGTTTGTTTGAAAAGAAAATGCCATTATGATATGAGTAGCAAATACGTTAATTGAATTTTTTCAACGGAGTCAGTGGAAAGAAGTTTTTTAAAACACGCTTTGAATATAATAATTTTTGATAATTTTATGCAATCGCGAAGAGACTCCATTTCCCCCCCTCCATTTCTGTGACAGTCGCCTTATTCGCTGTTTTTTTATTTTATTTGTAGTGTTCTGTCTGACGACAGGTCCATATATCATGAACAGGATCCTTCCAACCTCTTCAGGTTGTCAGGGACCTGCTCATACATATATACATTCTTGGCAGAGATGATCAGAAGTGGTTTGCCATTGCCTTCTTCTGTGTGTGAGTGGAGTAATTGTTGGGATGCCACGGAGAAACCGGGGAAGAAGCCCCCGGAGGAAAACTCCGTGATGCCTAGACCACGGCCTTGCCCAACACAAGTTATAAATTTGAGCACCACCGGGAATTGAACCCGGGACCCCAGGCTTACGAGGCTAGTGTTCTGACCGCTAGACCACCGTGGCGAACCTTATTCGCTGTATGGTATCAAAATTATAAACACCGACAGACAGATGGCTGTATAAATAGTTTGGATATGCCTGTCTGTTGGAAGACGACCACTGGCCAGACACAGATGTAGATGGGAGGGTAATATCAAGATAGATCTTAGGGAGGTGGGCTGTGAGGGTGGAAAATGGGTGGGGTTGGCTCAGGATCGTGGCAGGTGGCGAGCTTTGGTGTTGTCGGTGTTGGACCTACGGTGTCTACTACCAGGGAGTTAGTAATTTATGAATGATTAATGAAAAATAATTTGTAACGCGTATGGAAGAAGGCGGTTATGGCCTAATTTAAGGTTTTGTCCTGAAAATTGCTTTTAGAGACTGAGATGAACCTCCAGAATATTGAGCAGGAATCGACGTTCAGAATTATGAAAATTTGTAAGGTTTGTGAATGTGTGATAATACCGTATTTGAAAATGTTAATTAGAATAGTTGTTATGCAAAACATTATGCCTGAGACCGACTGCCCTGAGTTAAAATTTTCTTCATTTTTCTCGGTCCCATAAAGAAAATGTCGGTGTATTTTAAATTAAACTGCCTGTTTATATATACTTTTTAATACACTATTCGCTGATCGCCCTGTAATTCGATGACATGATCTGAGCGTTATTAAATAAATTAGAAGTAAATAAATAACACGTATTAAATGTCAAGGACGACGTTTAGAGAGATTTTTTTATGTTTTAGGCCGGAAGAGGTCACCCCCTTTGACTGCTTGATGAGGAGAAGTAAGTGTTATCTTTGTTAGTTCTAGATTCTTAGGTACTGTAAATCAGTGGTATTCAACCTGGGGTACGCGAAGACATTTTTGGGGGTACGTGAAATTTAAAAATATATATAAGGTAAAGCTAGCAGAGATTGCGCGGTAGGAGAGTTTGCGCATGTCTAAATTCAGGTGGAAGGGGGTAAGATGTGCGTACAACAGCGTGAGGAGCAGTAAGCACACCACTAGTAGAGGCTTCAGTTAAATTTACGTGTCGATGCAAGCTGTTCTCTGTGTTTTATTGCCAATTTTCTGCTTGTTCTGTAGAAGGTGAGGGCTTGAATTTTCTGGAATGTTTCGTATATTTTCATAAGAA